AGCACTCCTAGCCACGAACATTCCTGTTCCCCAGCTGGTGATTCTTGCAGCCCAGCCCTCCTCGCTCCATTTGCTCTCCGTGTCGAATCCCGGAGCATCGATTTGGTGCCGTTTCTCCCATTTGCTGTGAATGATTTGAATGCTAATCCTGCCAGCTGCAGCCCCGCTGACCTCAGGCAGCAGTTTTATTAGCTCCGCTTTGTCTCATCGCCCGAGTCATTAATTAAAGTGCTGATTAGTGCCTGAGATGAGGCAGACCCTTGTGAGATTCTGCTGTATAAATCCTTATGGGCAGACAGTAAACTGCACATATCCCCTGGAAGTGAACCTTTCCAATTATGCCTGCCCTTTCCCCTTCTTTTCACTCTACACAGTAATTTCTTATGGCTGATAATTAGTTAATGAGAATATTTTGAGTGCATAACCCGCATCCTTCCCATCCTTCCTGCAGTCAAGCTGTGGTGCAGCCTCCCCAGGTGGGCCTGGGAGAAATTCCATCCACAACATTTTCCTCCCGGTGCTTATAAATGGAGTAATAACTCTTTCACCATCTTTTCTGGTGGTCAGGGCTGAGATACTGGGTTTGCAACTCTCCGATTTCTCATTTTTCCCTTTCTAAGGTCCTCCAGGAACCCAACCTCTTTGAACTGTGGGGTTAATTGATGGAGATTCAGCATCCGTTTGGTCAGCCTCGGTATCCTATAGGAAACGTAGAAGGGTGTCCTTCACTGAGCATTCCTAGCTTTCACATATATGTGTATCTCCTTTGCCTTCCTCTTCCCCAGCTCTGGGACTGGGTCTTCTCTGTCATCTCACCATAAGCAGTCACCATACTCACATGGGACCATCCATATCCCTTGTGATGGAAAACCTGCTCCTCTAGCAGCAGCAGACAGGCAGAAGAAAGCCCTTGGGCTTTAATTGCTGCAGAAAAGCAGCCAAAAGCACGGCAGAGATAAATAGACTGAAGCAGTGCTTAGTTATCTAAAAGCTTCAGCTTTGCTCTTTTCCAGAAGGACGAGCATCACCCCTAGCTATTAAGTAGCTCTCAACTCCTTAAATGCCGTGGATCCTTCCGTTCTCTGACAGATTTTGGTGAACCAGGTTCGATGCATCTTTATCAACCTCAGGTGATGCTTTTCTCCTCCAACCCGCAAAGGTAAAAACCAGCAGTGAGCATCCATGGGCTGAAAACTACAACCTGGCAGATGGGCTATGGACTGGGGAGGGGCTGCTGTCCACTATGGACAACTCATAGAAAACCCTCATGGAGATGGAGGTGGAGATGGAGGTGGAGGTGGAGGTGGAAATGGAAGTGGAAATGGAGGTGGAAATGGAGGTGGAGATGGAGGTGGAGGTGGAGGTGGAGGTGGAGGTGGAGATGGAGATGGAGGTGGAAATGAAGGTAGAGATGGAGGTGGAGGTGGAGATGGAGGTGGAGGTGGAGGTGGAGGTGGAGGTGGAGGTGGAAGTGGAGGTGGAGGTAGAGATGGAGGTGGAGGTGGAGATGGAGGTAGAGGTGGAGGTGGAGGTGGAAATGGAGGTAGAGATGGAGATGGGGGTGGAGATGGAGGTGGAGGTGGAGATGGAGGTGGGGATGGAGGTGGAGGTGGAGATGGAGGTGGAGATGGAGATGGAGGTGGAGATGGAGGTGGAGGTAGAGATGGAGATGGAGGTGGAGGTAGAGGTGGAGGTAGAGATGGAGGTGGAGGTGGAGATGGAGGTAGAGATGGAGATGGAGGTGGAGATGGAGGTAGAGGTGGAGGTGGAGGTGGAAATGGAGGTAGAGATGGAGATGGGGGTGGAGATGGAGGTGGAGGTAGAGATGGAGGTGGAGATGGAAGTGGAGGTGGAGGTGGAGATGGAGGTGGAGATGGAGATGGAGGTGGAGATGGAGGTGGAGGTAGAGATGGAGATGGAGGTGGAGGTGGAGGTAGAGGTGGAGGTAGAGATGGAGGTGGAGGTGGAGATGGAGGTAGAGATGGAGATGGAGGTGGAGGTGGAGGTGGAGATGGAGGTAGAGATGGAGATGGAGGTGGAGATGGAGGTGGAGATGGAGGTAGAGATGGAGATGGAGGTGGGGATGGAGGTAGAGATGGAGGTAGAGATGGAGATGGAGGTGGAGATGGAGGTGGAAATGGAGGTAGAGATGGAGGTGGAGGTAGAGATGGAGATGGAGGTGGAGGTAGAGGTGGAGGTAGAGATGGAGGTGGAGGTGGAGATGGAGGTAGAGATGGAGATGGAGGTGGAGATGGAGGTAGAGGTGGAGGTGGAGGTGGAAATGGAGGTAGAGATGGAGATGGGGGTGGAGATGGAGGTGGAGGTAGAGATGGAGGTGGAGATGGAAGTGGAGGTGGAGGTGGAGATGGAGGTGGAGATGGAGATGGAGGTGGAGATGGAGGTGGAGGTAGAGATGGAGATGGAGGTGGAGGTGGAGGTAGAGGTGGAGGTAGAGATGGAGGTGGAGGTGGAGATGGAGGTAGAGATGGAGATGGAGATGGAGGTGGAGGTGGAGATGGAGGTAGAGATGGAGATGGAGGTGGAGATGGAGGTAGAGGTGGAGGTGGAGGTGGAAATGGAGGTAGAGATGGAGATGGGGGTGGAGATGGAGGTGGAGGTAGAGATGGAGGTGGAGATGGAAGTGGAGGTGGAGGTGGAGATGGAGGTGGAGATGGAGATGGAGGTGGAGATGGAGGTGGAGGTAGAGATGGAGATGGAGGTGGAGGTGGAGGTAGAGGTGGAGGTAGAGATGGAGGTGGAGGTGGAGATGGAGGTAGAGATGGAGATGGAGGTGGAGGTGGAGGTGGAGATGGAGGTAGAGATGGAGATGGAGGTGGAGATGGAGGTGGAGATGGAGGTAGAGATGGAGATGGAGGTGGGGATGGAGGTAGAGATGGAGGTAGAGATGGAGATGGAGGTGGAGATGGAGGTGGAAATGGAGGTAGAGATGGAGGTGGAGGTGGAGGTGGAGGTGGAGGTGGAGATGGAGGTGGAGATGGAGGTGGAGATGGAGGTGGAGATGGAGATGGAGGTGGAGATGGAGGTGGAAATGGAGGTAGAGATGGAGGTGGAGGTGGAGGTGGAGGTGGAGGTGGAGGAGGACATGGAGGAGGACATGGAGTTGGACATGGAGGTGGAGGTGGACGTAGAGGTGGAGACTGAGTTTTTCTTCCTCAAGCAAGGACTTCATTCACTGGTGAACTGGATTGAACTGGATCATAAAAGAGGGATGCTACGGTTGTCTAGGAAGAGATCTGCCTCACACCTCCATGATGCTAACTCTACTGTGTCAAGTAGCTCCCAGTATGGACCTTTGTGGGCTCGGTTTGAGGTGCTGGTCTCCATCTCTGGGGAAAATGTTATCCCAGACACAAGTGGTCCTAGCCTGGATGTGGTGGGATGGGTTGGGCTATTTCTCAGGGCCCTCGCCTTGCTTTGAGCAAACCAAAAGACCTCAGAAAACTTGAAATACCTTCCTCTTTCCTTCAGATGTGCATCTCTGCTGAGCATTGTGCAGATCCCCTCAGCTCCCCTCAGCCTTCCCTTGCAGGTGAGCTTTGGTCCCATCCGGTGCCATTGGTCCCCTGATCAATGGGGGATGGGGGAAGCTGCCCCCCAGCTGACCCTGTTTCCTGCTGGGTGTAGGATCAAACCTTTCCAAACTGCTTTTCCTTTATCTCCCTTTGCAACTCAGCCCCTCTCTACACATTCCATTAAGAGCACAGGTGAGATAAAAAAATTAAAAAAATAAAATAAAAAAAAGGTTTTATTTATACTTATAGAATCTCCACCCCCGATTAATGGAAATTATTGCAGAAAACCAGGAGTAATGATGGGTCAACAATTGACTGCAAAGCCAAGATGTGCTGTTTGCAATTGCCTTGGATGATTACATACACCCTCCTCTGACGGGTGGTTGAGAAAGAAACAAAGATTTGGGTTGTTCCAGGTTGTGTGTTGCCTGAGACGAGTCTCTATGCGATGAAAACATCCATAGAGTGATCTGGTTCAGAGGTCAGAGGGACGGGAGGTGCCACCCGAGTCCCAGGTGGTTCTCCCAACCCATGCTGGGCTATTCCTGGCAAAGCACATTGCAACCACCAGCTGCACGAAACAAGGGTGTTGTTATGGGTTGGAAAGTACCCTGGAGTGGCTTGAGGTTGTGTGCAGGGCAGGAAACCTAGCCTAAGCCTCCCCTCTAGCACAGCTAACATCCGCTCCTTCTCCTTTTCTCCACTGCGTATTTATTTTTTCTCTTCTGCGTTCTTTGGCTGAGCTGCAGAGGTTTTGAGGCTGAGCTTTGAAGTTATGGTTTCACTACTGAATTTCATGCTGGAGCCAAAAATTACAAGTTACTCCATGGTCTGAAGCAGCAGCTCAATTTGCACTTGGGTGGGAAGGAGACCTGAGATGGAAAGAATGCAGTAAATTGAGGCCGTTGGTGCCAAAATAATGCCAGACTCGACCTTCACCCCATAACTATGGCTGTGCTTGATAGCAGCCCCTTTGAGTCTGCCTGCCTCTGTGCTCAAATGCATTAGCCACAAGCTCTGCCCAAGCTGCAGAAGGTCTGAGCTCCCTTTGCAGTTTTGCAACCCTGGGAAAGGTTTCTGCCTTTTCCCAGCTGGAAAATGGAGTAAGCCTTAATGCTGACGTGTCTCAGTGAGGTCTCATGTCAAGTGGTTGGGTTGGACTGGGTGATCTTTATGGTCTTTTCCAAACCTGAGCAATTCCATGATTGTAAGTAAGGACAAAAATAATTATGGCTACTTCTGCAAAATGTGGCCATGCTGCTGAAGTGCTGCAAGCCTGCAGCTTGGTTTTCTCTCCTGGGATGGACAGAGGTTCTTTTTGGAGCCCACCCTTAGTGCCCTCCCTCCAAGCACCCCAATCCCTGCCCCTCTTACACCATGAGAGCAAAGGGAACAAGAGCAGTTGGCAACTGAGAGGCAAGGAGAGGCTGTCACTCATGAGGATATATGGGTCCAGTACAAAACCACTTCTTAAAAACCATTTATTACAAAACATTTTAAAAAAAAAAACACCCGTCAGGTATATGGCTGGTGGTCAGTGCTGGCATCGTGGAGGCTGTCAGCAGGAACAAATGCTTTGGAGGATAGAAATGAGGAGGACTGCAGTGTCCAAGGGTAATGTTTGTGCACCATTCAGGTGGAGACAGGTGTAGGACGATGCATGGGAAGGCTCCTGAGGCAGTGCAGGAGGAATTGGGAAACAGCCCCATCGTCCGTGGCTCCAAGCATCCATCCTTCACAGTTCGACTCAGGGTGATTCGCGTGGCTTCACCTCCCTGGATGTGGAACTGCAATTCACATTTTTTTGGCATCAGACTTTGGATTCCGGACTCTTTCTGGAGTTCTCTGCCAACTTCTTCTTCTCTGGGTCTGTTGTGGTCTCTGCTACATTGCTAGCATCCTTCTCCTGCCGTCTGAGGATCACATACACCATCACAAAGCACAGGGAAGCACCCACCTCAAAGAAAAACTGGAGGCCGAGATACCTGTGGTGTGGGAACACAATAAATGAGGGGAGGGAATGGGAGAGGAGAGGAGAGGAGAGGAGAGGAGAGGAGAGGAGAGGAGAGGAGAGGAGAGGAGAGGAGAGGAGAGGAGAGGAGAGGAGGGGAGAGGAGAGGAGGGGAGAGGAGGGGAGAGGAGGGGAGGGAAGGGGAGGGGAAGGGAGGGGAGGGGAGGGGAGGGGAGGGGAGGGGAGGGGAGGGGAGGGGAGGGGAGGGGAGGGGAGGGGAGGGGAGGGGAGGGGAGGGGAGGGGAGGGGAGAGGAGGGGAGAGGAGGGGAGAGGAGGGGAGAGGAGAGGAGGGGAGAGGAGAGGAGAGGAGAGGAGAGGAGAGGAGAGGAGAGGAGAGGAGAGGAGAGGAGAGGAGAGGAGAGGAGAGGAGAGGAGAGGAGAGGAGAGGAGAGGAGAGGAGAGGAGAGGAGAGGAGAGGAGAGGAGAGGAGGGAGGGGAGGGGAGGGGAGGGGAGGGGAGAGGAGGGGAGGGAGGAGGAGAGGAGAGGAGAGGAGAGGAGAGGAGAGGAGAGGAGAGGAGAGGAGAGGAGAGGAGAGGAGAGGAGAGGAGAGGAGAGGAGAGGAGAGGAGAGGAGAGGAGAGGAGAGGAGAGGAGAGGAGAGGAGAGGAGAGGAGAGGAGAGGAGAGGAGAGGAGAGGAGAGGAGAGGAGAGGAGAGGAGAGGAGAGGAGAGGAGGGGAGAGGGGAGAGGAGAGGAGGGAGAGGAGGGGAGAGGAGGGGAGGGAAGGGGAGGGGAAGGGAGGGGAGGGGAGGGGGAGGGGAGGGGAGGGGAGGGGAGGGGAGGGGAGGGGAGGGGAGGGGAGGGGAGGGGAGGGGAGGGGAGGGGAGGGGAGGGGAGGGGGAGGGGAGGGGAGGGGAGAGGAGGGGAGAGGAGGGGAGAGGAGGGGAGAGGAGAGGAGGGGAGAGGAGAGGAGAGGAGAGGAGAGGAGAGGAGAGGAGAGGAGAGGAGAGGAGAGGAGAGGAGAGGAGAGGAGAGGAGAGGAGAGGAGAGGAGAGGAGAGGAGAGGAGAGGAGAGGAGGGAGGGGAGAGGGAGGGGAGGGGAGAGGAGAGGAGAGGAGGGGAGAGGAGAGGAGAGGAGAGGAGAGGAGAGGAGAGGAGAGGAGAGGAGAGGAGAGGAGAGGAGAGGAGAGGAGAGGAGAGGAGAGGAGAGGAGAGGAGAGGAGAAGATGAGTTCAGATGGAATGGTCCAACTGAGCATCAATTCCAACTGTTGGTCACTGCAGGGCTGGCCAACAGAGCATATTATTAAGAGCATTCCCATGGTGGACATGGCCAAGTTCCCCCCCATCCCCTATCCTTACCACCATCCCTACCTCTGCCTGAAGAGGTTGTTGTCGTAGTATCTGCAGGATGCTTTCCTGTCACACTTATTCTCCCAGAGGATGCAGGTGGTGTCGATGGCACTGCCGTACAGAACAGGTCCTGGCATCCAGGCTGCATGCAGAGGGGTATCATTATGTCATGGGAGCACCTCTGGGACACACCGAGCCCTGGGTGCTCTCTACTGTGCTAAGAGGATGGAAAGCAGCTGGGTCTGATTTTCCTCCCTGTGGCCCATGAAGGATTGGTCTGTGGGGCTCACCCAAGGCTGGGTTTGCATCCCCCAGAGATGCAAGAAGATCCCTCTTTCTCATTGCTCTCTGACAAGGGGCCATTGCTCATCCCAGCAGTGTTGCTCACTCCTTCCTGAACTGCTCAGCAACGCTTCTTCCCATGGCTGAATCCCTTTGTGTGCCCGTGCTCATGGCCACCAGGTGAAAATCAATTCTCACCGTGAGAAAAATAACTGCTGGGACCAGGGCATGAGATGCACAGCCACTCTGATACCCCGGAGACAAACACAGCCAACAGCTGTCCTCCTGGATCCCATTCCCTCTTTCGTTTAATCATGCAGTTGCACCCTATGGGGATGACACTTCACCTCCCACCACTCACAGCCTACAAAGCAGCTCCTTCACCTCCCTTTAGAATGGAGTGAAACTGAACAAAGAGAATTTCCACAGCTCTGGGGCTGCTCAGGAATCCGTGCACATTCCTACCAGCTGATACAGTTTTCCAGGACAGCATCTCACCAAATTTCAACTTACCTAAAACTCTCAGCAGCATGAACTGTATCCCAACTGCAAACGATTTGTCTTCAGGTTGGATGCTCCTGCAACACGAGATGGAAAGTGTGACCTCCTGCAGTTGTGCAAGGATGGGTTTTTCCCTCCCCAGCATCACAAAATCTTGCAGTGCCCACACCCAAAAACTTGTCCTTCCACCGAACCACCAAGGACCCACACAGTTCCCCTGTAGGTCAGCAGAAAGGATGCTGTTTCATTCACTGGGGCTCTGAGCTCACCACAGCTTTTTCGTGTCCAGGAAACAGAGTTGGTATGAGTAGAACACCAACAGAAGCCAAGATAGCTCTGCCAAACACAAGGAGCACAAAGGCTGCTTTCTGCAGCTGAAGAAGTTATTTCACCACTGGGGAAGTGGCTCTCTTTGCAATGTGCTGTGCCAGGGTGTATTTTGGTGGCACCCCAGATTTCTGAAATAAACCTTGTGGTTATGGCCGGGGTCACAGCTGGGAGGACCTGGGGGCAGCACACCTTCTCCTCTCTGTTTGGAACAGGCTGGGCTCACTCCTGTCCTGAGCAGTGATTTAATATTGCCTGGGGGGGTCGAGGTAAAAATAAGTTTTAACCACAGCTCATCCATAAAAAGCAGCTGTTCTGAGCATATTAACCACGGAAATGGGCTGGAAGGTATCCGTTATAGATGATATCCAATTAAACCTCCTAGCTTAATAGGGGGCTGCATTAAAAAGCGATAAATCAATGGTGTAGCTCGTCACTGAGATATGAGTGGTGGGTGAGGAGAAGGAGCAAGAAGGCTGGTGGGCCAGAGAGGGAAGATCTGAGCATAGGAAAGGGGTGCTGGGGGCAAACATGGGGATGCTGAGAGATGTGGCACTGAAGGACGTGCTGAGCGGGCACGGTGGGATGGATTGGGGTTGGACTTGGGGATCTGAGAGGTCTTTTCCAACCTGAATGGTTCTATGGTTCTGTGAGCCAACCCCTCAGCTTTCCTCCCCGCTTCAAGAACCCTTTGCTTTTCCAAATGCAGCTTCATGCAGCTTAGAGGAGTTCTTGCAGCCAAACCAGGACCCCCCTGCCCTGCTCACCGGAGGATGAGCATGAAGGACGGCGTGTGGGATGTGCTGGCAAGGATCCCTGCCAGGCAGGAGAGCACCACAAAGGGCAGGAGCAGGTGGGAGCAGCTGGTGCCACAGGTTCCGGGCTTGGCGGAGCCCACGAGCCCATTTTCTGAGATGCAGATGCAGTTGGTGTAGTTCTGTAAAAAGGAGAGAGAAGCTGCTGGGTTGAGGAAAGCAGTGGGGATGCCAGGGATAGCTGCCAGCTGATGTGGCAGGGGAGGGTGTTTGGATTTTGACTGTAAATAATTAGCAGTAATTAGCACTCAACACTTGAGGGAGCAGGAGGAAAAAATAAAGAAGTACAATGAATTCAACAGAGGGGAGCAGGAGTGTGTGAGGATACGCGCTCTTCATTCCCACATCAGCTCTCATCCCCATCTTCACCTGTCCATCCCCATCTTCAGCTCTCCATCTCCACACCAGCTCTCCATCTCCACACCAGCTCTCCATCCCCACATCAGCTCTCCATCTCCACACCAGCTCTCCATCTCCACACCAGCTCTCCATCTCCACACCAGCTCTCCATCCCCACATCAGCTCTCCATCCCCACATCAGCTCTCCATCTCCACATCAGCTCTCCATCCCCACACCAGCTCTCCATCTCCACACCAGCTCTCCATCTCCACACCAGCTCTCCATCTCCACACCAGCTCTCCATCCCCACACCAGCTCTCCATCTCCACACCAGCTCTCCATCTCCACACCAGCTCTCCATCTCCACACCAGCTCTCCATCCCCACATCAGCTCTCCATCTCCACACCAGCTCTCCATCTCCACACCAGCTCTCCATCTCCACACCAGCTCTCCATCTCCACACCAGCTCTCCATCTCCACACCAGCTCTCCATCTCCACACCAGCTCTCCATCTCCACACCAGCTCTCCATCTCCACACCAGCTCTCCATCCCCACATCAGCTCTCCATCTCCACACCAGCTCTCCATCTCCACACCAGCTCTCCATCCCACACCAGCTCTCCATCTCCACACCAGCTCTCCATCCCCACACCAGCTCTCCATCCCCACATCAGCTCTCCATCTCCACACCAGCTCTCCATCTCCACACCAGCTCTCCATCTCCACACCAGCTCTCCATCTCCACACCAGCTCTCCATCCCCACATCAGCTCTCCATCTCCACACCAGCTCTCCATCTCCACACCAGCTCTCCATCCCCACACCAGCTCTCCATCTCCACACCAGCTCTCCATCCCCACACCAGCTCTCCATCCCCACACCAGCTCTCCATCCCCATCTTCAGCTCTCCATCTCCACACCAGCTCTCCATCCCCACACCAGCTCTCCATATTCCCATCCGCTCTCCATCCCCACATCCAGCTTCCAGCACACAGCCAACTGCTGGAAGAAGGTTCCCATCTCACTGGGCCCCATGAGCATCACTGGGATGTCACATTCACAAGCATATACAGCTGATGGGGAAGAACCACAGCAGTACCTCTGGTCCTTATCTGTGCTTCCAGAAGCACTCGTTTGTGCTCCCAACCCAGACACTTCCTTGTCTTGTTCACATGGGCTCCAGCAATTGCCCCCCTGTCCCCTGTTTCATGCCTGCTGTGCACCAAAGATGCTTTTGCACAGATTTTGGATGTCATCATTGTTAGAATGTTGTCATTTGTCAGCTGAACGCCTTGGCATCGTGCATAAATCTGAATTCTTGGCGTGGAAATGTCTCACAGCTGATAAAACATTCAGACCCGATGCGAGTTTGCTGGCTTGTGCTGTGCATTTTGGCGCTAACCTCCAGGGGGAGGGGGAGGAGATTGGGGATGAAAGGGTTCACATCCCCTCCTCCCACCCCCAGGAAAGGGGCCTTAATAGCTCAGATTAACGCTGATCTTCTTCAGCCATCTGAAATGAACCGGACCAAAGCAGGCTCCTTCTGCACTCAACAAAGGAGATCACAGAATCACACAGAATCACAGAATCACCTGGGTTGGAAGGGACCTCAAGGATCATGTAGTTCCAACCCCCCTGCCTAGCAGGGCCACCAAACATCCACATTCAGATCAGGTTGCCCAGGACCCCGTCCAACCTGGCCTTGAACACGTCCAAGGACGGGGCATCCACAACCTCCCTGGGCAGCCTGTTCCAGGGCCTAACCACTCTCCTTGTGAAGAACTTCCCCCTAACATCCAACCTAAATCTTTCCTCCTTCAACTTTGATCCATGTGAGTCTCCAAAGGACAGCTCAGCCCCTCCATAGATAAATGCCTGTGATAGTTGAGATTCATTTGGGTCAAGGCTGATTAAAAAAAAAAAAAGTGCAGTCGGATACATTAAAGCTCTCATGAGCTATATACCACTTCTTCCAGAGTCACAACATTCAGGGCACTTGCGTAAAGCCAAGAGGAAATGGAGGGTTGGAGATGCCTGTGGCGGTGCCCCGGAGCCACGATGCGCCCCTCTCATCCAAAACCTCAGAGGACAACACAGCAGTGTGACCCCATCTGCCAAACACTCCGAGCAGTGGGGGCAAGCCACAAAGCTGCGGGTGGGCCGTCCCTGTGAGACACACTGTCTGTGATGTGGTGCCACGGGGACTGCAGTGCAGAGCTGCTCTGTCTGCTGTGAGAACCACCAGAGAAATGGGATGAGGAGGAAATCCACGAGCATCCCCACAGCAGGATGCGATGTGGGGGCAGGAAGGGGCTGTCAGAGTGGTATCTCAGCCGTGCCCAACAGAAGCATCTGGCAACTAGTTTCTTGAGAGGCTCCCATCAGTGGTGCACGTTTCTCTCTTAGTTCACCCTTATCAGACCCTCCAGTCCCCCAAATTTTGGGGTGCCCATTGACCAGCTCGGATACAGTGCAGCTGAGAGCAGTGGAACATTCCCACTGTCACGCATGGCCGTGCACCACGACCCAATGCCATGGAGACAGCCATAGCCCCGGGTCTCAAGCATTAATGATCTGGACGATGGGGCAGAGCCAGACCTCAGCGAGCCAGCAGATCACACACAGCTGGTTGAAGAGGTGGGCGCCCCAGAGGATGAGGAATGGGCTGCAGGAGCCCCTGGAGTCCAGCCAGGAGGTGTTCAGGGTGCACTGATGGTTAGAATAAAAGATTTGGCAAAGGATGCTAGCATGAGAGGAAGGAGTACTGCTGGCTTTGATAAGGAGTGTTGGCATGGCACTGTAAAGGGAGTCCCTATTTTACTGTAGCGTGTAGCTATATATAATAATATATAGACAATACACGGATAATAACATGTTTAGTGACTACAGGGCCAGGTGATGCTCAGGAACAGAGCATGCCGAAGGGCTGGAGGTGTCTCTGAGGAGGAAAAAAGTAGCTGACAAGGATCTGCTGCACAAAAGGCAGGCACAGGCGTGCAGAAGAACACATCTGGGACCAAGCTCTGGCAGGAAATGTAATTGTTATTAAAATGGAGTGCTGTTAATTAACCAAGTGCTGCTAAAAAAGTCCCCAGCCAGTTGCACGCTGCAAATACATCCTGCGCCAAGAACACGAAGGAAAACCACTTACCCTCTGTGGACTGCTAACTTTTTCCAGAGAGGTCTTTGAACTGGCAAATATTTCCTGGTTATTTATTCACTGGAGGAGTCCAGTGGAGGTGGGCTGGTTCACCCCATGGTGAAAGCATCCCTTAAGTACGAGAGGTGTCACACAGGGGGGTGACAAAGATGTTTATTTAGCCCTGCCCTCACTGCATGTCCTCCTATGCCACCACAGGGAACGCAGCTAAGAGAGGTGACCTCACTGGCTTGGGGTGAAGGGAAAATAGAAGGGTTTTGTGTCGTCCATGGAAGCTCCTGATGGTGAGGGAGATGTTGTAGGTGGTGTCTGTGCTGTGGAAGCAGTGGTCTCTGGGGTGGAGCAGTGGATAGGTGAGGACATATCCTAAAAGGATGGGTATCAAGGTGTCCACTGAAGCTCCTGATGGTGAGGGAGATGTTGTAGGTGGTGTCTGTGCTGTGGAAGCAGTGGTCTCTGGGGTGGAGCAGCGGATAGATGAGGACATATCCTAAAAGGATGGGTATCAAAAAGGATTCTGCCTGCTGCCTCGGCCAAGAACCTGTACCAGCATGGGTTGTGTTGGCCACTCTATGACCGCGTGCCATGCACGGGGCCAATGAACACTGGAGAACCTGTTGACCCAACCTGAGCACTGCGTTGGCCATCTCTCATGAGCTGTCCCAAACCAGGATGTGGTTGTGGTGGGAATGACTCACCAGGACCGAGTTGTTGGCGATGCTGACGGTACTGCAGCCTGCGTAACAGGGAGAGATGTACTCGATGCCATCGGAGCCGCAGATGGGGTTGTAGGCTTTCCTGGGGCAGTTACATTGGATGCTGCACTCTGAGGCGTAGTGTCCAAATTCAGAGCTACAACAGAAAGGAAATACTGATGGATGGCATTGAGCATAATTAATACGCATCTTATACAGAAAATATAATATATATGATATTTATATATTTAATATATATAGATATACCTGTTTATATAGGCTTAGGAATGAAACACTAGTTGCTTAATGCTGAGCCTCTCCCATGAGGAAGATCCCATAGAAATTCCATGATAAGCCCCTGGAGCCTGGGAGTAGCATTCACCCATGGGCCAGCATGTTGCCCAATTCTTTCATTTTGTGTTCCCAAGCCCTAAATGTGGGGTCTCAGACCTTTGTGACCCACAGAAACCACTTTGGGGCCCGCGGTGACCACAAGAATGTGAATGGGTCAGCATGCAGAATTTGGGGTGGAGGATCTGGGGAAGACTACGTGGGCAAGGAGTCACAGTGCTCCCAGGTCTGATCTCTGGCCGTGTTATTAGCCCAGTGAGCAAAGCCCTGTGCTTTCCAAGATGAAATTTTAATCTTGTGCTCTTTGTGCCAAAAAAGAAAACAACAACGCGTTCTCTCAAGTTTCACAACCAGTCAATGAAGCTGGCGTGAGTAAGGACGCTGTAGACTCAGAGTTTATTCACAAAAGCATGAATCCCTTGCCTTGTTTTAAGGAAATAAACACAATTTTGAGTGTTCTGCTCAAGTCCCAGCCCAGCCCCAAAGCGTGACCCCAGTGAGCCCCCCAACCCGCTCAGCTGCACACCTCTCTCTGTAGGTGATGCCGGCAACCTTCTGTGTGGGGCAGCCAAGGAAGACGAGGGGGAAGGCAAGGATCAGGCAGAGCAGCATGCCGAGGACACACATGGCACTGCACTGCTTCAGGGACATCTGGAACCTCTTCAGGATGGCACCGCCGACCACGATGCCAACCATCGCCCCCGGGATGTTCACAGAACCTGGGGAAAGGCAGATCCCACAGCTTGGTGTCTGACCTCCAAACCAGGGGGTTTCGTGGTCATGGTGGGGATGGGTTGAAGTCGGACTTGGAGACCTTGGAGGTCTTTTCCAACCTTCACGATTCTATAAGTGGTCATGGTGGGAATGGGTTGGGGTTGGACTTGGAGACCTTGGGGTCTTTTCCAACCTTCATGATTCCATGATTACACAAGTGGTCATGGTGGGAAGGGGTTGGGTTGGTCTTGGAGACCTTGGGGTCTTTTCCAACCCTCATGATTCCATGATTCTATAAGTGGTCATGGTGGGGATGGTTGGGGTTGGACTTGGAGACCTTGGAGGTCTTTTCCAACCTTCATGATTCCATGATTCTATAAGTGGTCATGGTGGGGATGGTTGGGGTTGGACTTGGAGACCTTGGGTCTTTTCCAACCCTCATGATTCCATGATTCTATAAGTGGTCATGGTGGGGATGGTTGGGGTTGGACTTGGAGACCTTGGAGTCTTTTCCAACCCTCATGATTCCATGATTCTATAAGTGGTTGTGGTTGGGATGGTTGGGGTTGGACTTGGAGACCTTGGAGGTCTTTTCCAACCCTCATGATTCCATGATTCTATAAGTGGTCATGGTGGGGATGGGTTGGGGTTGGACTTGGAGACCTTGGGGTCTTTTCCAACCCTCATGATTCCATGATTCTATAAGTGGTCATGGTGGGAATGGGTTGGGGTTGGACTTGGAGACCTTGGGGTCTTTTCCAACCCTCATGATTCCATGATTCTATAAGTGGTCATGGTGGGGATGGTTGGGGTTGGACTTGGAGACCTTGGAGGTCTTTTCCAACCCTCATGATTCCATGATTCTATAAGTGGTCATGGTGGGGATGGTTGGGGTTGGACTTGGAGACCTTGGAGGTCTTTTCCAACCTTTACAATTCTGTCATTCCAGGATTCCAGGATAGCTATTTTCTGCACAGTGAACCACTGATGTAACAGTGTGCCCGTTTCTGCCATCATCATTACAAAACTGTAAAGGTTTCCATGACAGACTTGGGGTTTTGAAAATCCCAGCATATAAAGGGATACTGAAGAAGTGCAGTGTGTTTAATTCATCAAAGGATCAACAAGGAAGTTACCTTCAGCCCATAAATACCCTATAAATACCCAAGGAAGGAAAGGATTTCCGGCTGCATGAGAGCTTTCAGTTATAACAGAAAAAGGAGAAGCAAGATTTAGCAGCCAGGAGTGAAAGGTGGATAAATCCATATGAGAAATACGCCACACATCTTTAATGCCAAGAGTAAATCAAGGCTGGGCACGACCCAGTAGGGCACATCAGTGGAGACCACCATCATTTCAGCACTTAACCTTCCTCTTTTCTGCTTACTTTCTTCCAATTTATTTTTCAAAGATCCTCACTCTGAGGATGCTGCTTAGAATTACATTTCAAAAGATCCCCGTCTGTTATCTAGATCCCTGGGTGCTCTGGCTGATTTCAAGCCTTTTTCCTCATATCTTGGTTACCATGACACAGGTCCCAGCTTGAGACTGGACGTTCTGGGTATTAAAAGTAAAAGCAGTTTTGTCTCGTGAGAACATATCCTGCTTGCAATATCTTTGTTTCCTTCATAACAATACCAACAGCAAGAAATTAGCCCAATTTTTATGAGCAATTAGTCTAACTACAGTAAGATTAAGAGAAGATGAAGACTCCGGCTGGGCTGCTCTCTTGCTGCAAAGTGTCTTTACAATGCACATGAGTATTTTTGCCATTTTTCATTTTATTTCATGCATGCTTGTTGAGAGAGCTTTCACTAATGGTCTGTGTAAAGCAATCCCTACCAGAGAAACGGGCACAAATCAACCCAGATGGTTCCTTGCTCTGTTCTTGCCATGAGTTGTTCTCCTCTCCTTGGTTTTCAAGAAGGAGCTCAGAACCTGGCAAGTCCCCACGCACGACAGCAACACTTACCAATGATCATGTTGGCAAAGGAGGCTGTGAGGGAGAACTGTCTCTCCAGAAACTTCCCCATGAAGGTGGCTAAGCCAGCAACCATGGCCGAGAGGTTGACCTGAGCCAACACCACCAGCAAGAAAACGGGGTGGCGAAGGTTCCTCAGCAGGACCACAGGAAAATCTGGAAGGAGAAAGGGCAGCCTGCTGCGTACAGAGGGGAACAGCAAAATACCACCCATAGAAAATGGCATAGCTTTGAAATTTCCCCAGAGTTTTGGGCAGGATTTTGGCAATCCTGCCTGCAGCAGTGGTGTTGGAACTCTTTGAGGTCCCTTCCAACCCAAGCCGTCGTGTGATCCCATGGAAAACCTTGTGCAGGATTAACAATTCGGGATTGGAGAGGTCTACCAAAGATCTCCCTTATATAAAGGCAGAACGAGTGCTTTCAGGGTTTATCATTTCACTTATATTATGTGGTGGATTGGACGCGAAGAAGCCGGGTGGAAGCATCAGTGGTTGCATACATGTCCCAAGGAAACAGCCTCGGTTCCTTTCCCCGAAACTTTCTGCCATGGCATGAAAAACATCTGGGAGGTCACTAAGTGTTAATTTGTTTGTTTGCTGTGGTTGAAGCTGCAGTGTCCTTTCTGTTTCGGTAGTAAAGACGCTTCTCTATTATTGTTATTACTTTCAATGGTTAGGATGCAAGAAACAATGCCAGCAGATTCCCCAGAGGCCAAACTCTTGGTACTTGAGCAAAGACTTGCTGAAGGGACACTGACACCCACCAGCTGCAGACCTCCAGCCCGGAGCTGCTTCTCCCCCATGCTGAGCCCTCGTTCTGCTCATGCCTTTGCTTTGCAGCACGTAAGCAGAGGGCATACATAAAAGGCAACTTCCAGACAAACAGCAGATGAGCTTCCCAGATGAGGGCTCTGAAAGCCAATATGTTGGAGCAGAGATAAGGAATTAACAGGGAGGATTAATGCGAGGGCCTTGCTGTAAATTAATGGTGTTAATTCCCAGCAGCTCACAAACATGAGGACAATCTCTCTATCTGCTCCAGCAGGGAGAACCATCTGCCAGGAGCTGCCCCAAGCTGTGCATTCACTTCTATTGTTTTCGTCCTAAAAAGTCACATGAAGAGCAAAGACCTCTCCATGGCTGCCAGAGGGTGACCAAATGCAAAGGGAAAGCTCGCCTTCATGGGAGCATTCCCTCTGAGATCAACATTCTGCTCCCAGGGTTGTGCAAACAGCTGGAGATGTTGGGCCAAAGGAGGGCTCCAGAGAGAGTCCAAAGAGCCCAAGGTCCACGAGACAAGGGCATGGGCATGTGGGGATGAGTCAACAATGGGATTTTGTGATCTTGGAGGTCTTTTCCAACCCTCACGATTCTATGAGAGGGCAACGGTGGGGATGGGTTGGGGTTGGACTGGATGAGTTTGAAGATCTCTTCCAGCCTTTGTGATTCTGTGAGATGGGTTGGTAGTTGGATAGCCTTATAGGTCCAGGTAGCCTGGTACTAAAAGCATGTGGAATAAAGTCCTAAAAAACCCTTAAAAAAAACCCACAAAACTTGAAACCATCTTTAGGCATCACCGAGAAACCAACAGGTCACGAGCCCCAGATTTTAATTGCTTTGAAGATCACCTTTCATGGATTAATTCCCAAATTGTGCAGCAGCGGCTGAGCGTCCTCCCAGGTGCTTTCAGCAGAAGGCTGGAAATTAGCAATGGAAATTAGCGATGGAAATGACTTCTAGCTCACTGATCTCATTGCTGCGAGCAGATCCAAAGGCTGCGAATGGAGCACAGCAAAAGGAGCAGGGAGCAGCCCAAAGTCACCCAGCACATCTGTGCAGGAGCCAGGATTGCTCCCCACAGCGCTCTGACTTTCCTCATTTTGAATAGCTCTGGTTATTGGAGCCTGCTTGTTTCTCAGGAGTTGACCTCACTGTTTGGAAAGGTCCCCAGTGCTTTGCCCCACACACAACCCCATCCTGTTATCGAGCCTGCGGATGGGAAAGCTCTTCCTGTCCTTGAAGTGCAGCCCGCGGGGCTCTGCAAGCTGCTCCTCAAGCCTCAATCCAAACAGACCCAAAGCCCAGAGACCTGCCAGAGAAAATGAGAATGCAGAGAACCTCATCCATGGGCCCGAGCTTGTCCTCACTTTGAAGCTTTCATAGGGAAGTCCTGGGATGGAGGCAGAAGCAGTCTGCTGTCATCTCAGTTTGATGCGATTCCTGACGGGATCCTGATGCTTTCCTTCATCCCACCCCGAACAGGAAACCCGTAGCCGTCAGCGTGGCCACGTGCAGGAACACAACCTGCAGAAATGCACAGGGCTTCCTGTCCCTGTACCCCCCTGGCACCCCTTGGGATGCTGGTGGAACACCGAGAGGACGAGGCCCAACCCACATCTTCTTGCCAATGGCCATCTCCATCCAGCAGCATGCAGATGAGTCAGCTTCTAACTAATTAACTTCTAACTTCTTTCTGCTTCATCTAATCTGCCCCTGTTACGTCATCAAACACCACCTACCATCCGTATTCTGGATATGGCGAGGGTTTTGTGGGTGCAAGGATGGCACTGTAGGCTGGCACTGGACATCACTGCAGCCCCATTTCTGTAAGCAGGAGGTATATATTGAGCTGCTGGGGCTGAGATCAGAGAATCACAGCATCACCAAGCTTGGAAAAGGCCTCTAAGATCACCAAGTCCAACCTCCAGATGTCTGAGTGAGGTCCAGCCCTGAGCTTTGCCGCTGCTGGTTTTACAAAACCTTGGTCACCTCTGCAAGATTGCTTTCCTGGCCAAAATTACAGATTCTCAGGGCTCAGACTTGGGGATAAACTCTTGGCAATAATGGATTTATTATCACAGCCCTGATGCAAACCCCACACAGATGCCAGGCACTTCCTCCTCTCTCCACTCAGGTACAGGGAGCTCATTTTTACTCATTTTTGGGGGGCAGAGAGCAGAGCATCAGCGTGAAAAATCCCAACTGAACGCCATAAATCTGCTCCCACACGACAGCTCCCAGCAGCGGTGTGCTGGGTGAATGTTTTGCTAAATGATGGTGCAGCAAAGTCAGTGGGGGAACAGCCCCCAGGTTGGCTCTTATAGCTCAGCATTGGGCTGCAAGTGAGTGGAGCAAAGAGCAGAATGAAAACCTGCCCACGCTGGCTGTGCCTGCCCTGTGCTGACCTTCGTAAAACAAGAGAGCTTGCAATAAATGAAAGGGATAATACTTGGGAAATAGATGTGGATGGACTGCAGAGGGTCACTTTTCTTAAGTAATTGCCCAAGAACCAAATATTTATGTCAAACAAACCTGACCCGTAGCCTCAATAGACCCAAGCCCAGCTGATTCCCTTCAGTTCTAAGTGCATCTCTAAGCCCCCCGACTTCCAAACAAGCTCACTGCCCTGGATTAATTCCAGCCTGCACAGACATGCAGCTGGTTTTAAACGCTCAGACCCTGGCTGCAGCCATCCCCTGCAGGACAAGCAGGACAGCGTGGCTGTCACGTTGTCACCAGGCTTGACAGACAGGAGCTGAGGAGGTTTTGGGGGCAGGACTGTGATCACTTGGAAGCTGAGCAGTAGCAGATGGTGGTACTCAAGCAGCAAACCCTGCTCTAACTGGGCACCCCTCTCCCTTCTCGTGGCTCTGCTGTGGGTTTGCCCCCTCTTCCTTGCTAGATTTGGTTCTGGTGCAGGGTTTGGTTTCCATTTGGCTTCCACTTCCACTGACCAGATGAGCCATGAAGCCAGGCAGTGCTGAGTGCTCCCACTCCCAGACAACGAGATGGGGCTGAGCCCCTCTCATACGATGCTTGAATCAGCACAGGCTGGGCTGTGGGTTGTGTGCAGACAAGGAGGAAATCTGTGAATTGCATTTGAGCCAGCAGGATGCCTACCTGCATCCTGAGGGCTGAGCACAGGGAGGAATATCCCTCTTTCCTATTAGCACTGACAGGATGGATGAACGGGACACTGCCCATTGCCAGGATGGGTGGACGAGCAAGCAGGGAAGACACAGAATCACAAAACAATTTAGGTTGGAAAAGACCTCCCAGGTCACCCAGTCCAACCATCAGTCTGGCCTACTGATTGCCATCACCAAACCACGTCCCTTAGTGCCACGTCCGTGTGTCTTTTTGATACCTCCAGGGATGGGGACAGCACTGCTGCACTGGACACCTGTTCCAGTGCTTGAAGCCATGATGGACCAGCAAGAGGATGAAGTCCAATGCATGTTTTCTTTCCCATGCACTCAACTCCCTCACTCAGACCGCAGATAGAAACAAACTCCCTGCCAAGCAGGAGGTTGCCACAGACTTACATTTGATGAACTGGAGCAGGGAGAGGTTTTGCACGTGCTCGGACCTCGACCTGAGCTGGCGGAGCACATCCTTGCTCTTCTTGCTGCTGATCTCCTTCCCACTTGTCACCTGTGGACAGGTAAGAGTTGATCACTACCAACATTCCCACCCAGCTCACCCCTCCCACAGCTGTGCTGAAGGAAGAAGGGGAAATCTCCCTTTGGAATCACAGCCTGGGGAAAGCAGAGGGCAGCCCACCCTCCACAGATGGAGCTTGTGATGCTCTGTGTCCTGCCAGCAAATCCTGTCATCAGGATGAGAGCATGCAGAAGTCTGCATGACAAGGCTCAGAGCCTTTTTTTCCCCTTTTCCCCACAGGACTGAATTGTATTTCATAAATATCTATGGGCACACAAACCCAAGAAACGATGTACACGTGGGCAAGGTGTACCTAAATGAGGCAAAGGGAGCTCTCATTTGGGACGCAGGATGTGGATTTCTCCAGTTTTGGATGGAGGATGAGCATTTCTCCTCAGTGGAGATGGAGATGGAGACTCAGAGGCAACGACAGGGATGTGCCAAAGGCTCTGGGTTGTGCTGTGCAGCTGCAGACCCCTCACCTCTCTCAGCCTCTTTCCACTGTTCTGGATTATGAGAACCCCAGCTGAATTCTAGCAACTCTGCTCTCTTCTGGTGCCTTTATAGGTTTTGCCCCTAAGAACAACAGCGTGGAAGGGATATCCTTTCCCTCCGTGGAAGGGACCTCCATTCTGGGGATCAATGCAGCTGCAGGGCAGATGTGTCCGGGTCTCGGTGCTTACAGCCCTAATTTAGTGTCATTTGGTGGTTGGAGCTTTGTAAGGATGAGATCCACACCCTGCCTGTCCTGCTGCCACCTCTCCAAAGGAGAGAGAAAGAGAGGTGGGACGTGGGGCCCTTGGATCACTCCAGCTCCATCCCGACCCCCTTAGGAGCCATCCAAGAGCAGCACCCTACGTCCCTGCACATCATCCTGCACCAGCAAGAGGGAGGCCAAGGGAGAGGGGAGTTTTTTGGATGCACTCATTCTGCAGGTTTTTACTGGTGGGACAATGGCATGAAGTAGGTGAGAAGTGCTACTACAGAAGCATTACACGGCGAAGAAGCTCAGGGGGAGTGTGGTTTGATGGAAAACCTCAGCTTATTTTCAGCCAGCGGCCCTGGGAGCCACGTCTGACATCCCACATCAGCTAATGTGAGTCAGACAAATGAGTTCATCTGATGGAAATTAGATGTTCTACATTCCCTACAAGAGCTGGATGGTTTGTTGGCTGAAATGAGCTCTTTTTCTCTGAAAGCAAGACATTAAACACTGGAAAGGTCACGATGTCCCGTGCTGAGAATGCCACTCTCTTCTGAAGTCTCTGCACAGCAGCAGTGGGATCTGTGCAGCTCCTTCTCCATGTGCCATCGGTAGAGCACAGAGATTGATATAATCACTTTAAATGCACAGATACAAATCCAGTTCCTCCCGCTTTTCCATCAGGACCAGACAGGCAGGAGCAAAAACCACAAGCATTTGTCAAAAACGAATTCAAGCTGTTGCTCCCTGCAGCTTTCCCAGCTGACAGCTGCTGTTGTTTCAGAGTGGGAACAGCATGCAGGGCTGCACACCCAGAGCCAAATCCACATCCCCAGTCCTCGACATCCCCCCAGCCTCTGTATAAACATGACAGATCTGTGTGCATCTCCATACAAGGAGCAAAGCCCTGGAGGAGAACGCAGGATGCACTGGCTCAGATTCACCATATATTCCTGCAGGAGGAAATGCATTCCTGAGGGGTGAAGCAGGAAAACTGGGAAAGCAAGCAGAGAGGGAGCGGGTCCTGCCTGCCGTGGGGATTTCAGTGTTGCATCACGCATTGGCATGCTGACATCACTGGGTAAAACAACGCAGGTTGGTGGCTCGGCGCTTCCCAGCCGTCTGCTGAGGTGTCTTGCCAAAGGAAAACAACCAAAAGTAGGAAATGTCGTGCAGAATGGCCCCGTGCTCTGGTTTTTTTTTTTAGGGTTGTTCCTTAAAGGGCTCGATGGACCGGGCTGCTGTTGCATCCTTTGCTTTTTGCAATGGGGTTTTGTCTAACGCTGTCAGGCTTCTTGGGATGGTGAAGGAGGCAGCTGGCTTTTGAGGGGTCTTGGTTGGGTTTCCCAAGGAAGCACCAGCAAAGCCATTGGCTCATACACTCACCGAGGCTGGAAAAGACCTCCAAGGTCCCCAACCCACCCCACCATCCCACATACCTCAGTGCCACATCCCACTGCTCTGAAACATCCCCAAGGATGGTGACCCCCCCATCTCTCTGGTCAGCTGTGCCAGTGCCTGATCACTCCTTCGGAGAAGAAAATGGAGCATTCTTGTCCCATTTCCATGCACAGACACGAGTAAATCAGACACAGCGGAGCAGGGCTGGGAGCCAGGGGAAGAGCAGGACCTGCTTTGCAGACGGAGGTGGCTACTGCAGCCTGGTTTCATGCGGATACACCATGGGAAGAAGGGGATAAATGACCCACTTTGTGACATACAGATTTTCTGTGTTTAATTTGTGGTTTCCAGCAGATTTCCCCTCTGGCTGAGCTGAACCTGCCGCTCCAGGCACAGTGCAAAGCAAAGTCAGCGAACCTATTTAGGTGTTGCACAAACAAAACGTGAAACCTCATCGCCTGGAAAAGCACCCACCTCCCTCCTGACAGGGTCGTGTTCCTCACAAACGCTCCTCTGTGTCTCTTCCAGCAGACGTGGGTTCCCCCAGGGTCCCATTTCCTTGAGTGCTGAAATAGTCATCCTGCAGCCTCGCTCAGGTGGAGCCAGGTGATTATTTTTAACTCTTCCTGTATTTGACATTCCACTGGGAAAATCCAACCACTGAGATCAACACTTTCCTGTAACGCAGCCGCTTCTGCACCACTGCACTCTGCCACCTGCCCTCCGAGTGCTCCCCAAATGTCCTCTATTTCCAGGCTGGTGCTTGGAGGTTTTAATGGAGAAGGGGGCTCTGGGGAGAAAGAATCTCAACAAATGCTTGGATTCCCCTGCCCAGCTCTTTAACCTTTGGCCACCAGCTGACAACACAAAAGGAGCGGATCATTGAAAGTTCCCTGTGGGTTCTTTTCCTTTCTCCGTGCCCTGGAAGCAAACTGTGTCACTGCTGGATCAACGTGGGAGGATTCGGATAAATGTGGACTATTTGTCCCAAGAGAGAAATGGGAGAAGTTATTTTTCACTTCCTCTCCATTGCACGAAGTCCCTGGGACAGAAAAAGGCAAGTCACTGCCATCCCACAGCATGGGACCTGGGAAGTTCCCTGCTGATCTGTCTGCAGGATGTTGTCCTTGGTTTGCCAATTCCTGCCCCATAGTGTGAGGCGCTGCTGAGATCGTAGAATCATAAAATTGCTCAGGTGGAAAAGACCTGCAAGACCATCAAGTCCAACCTCGACCTAACCATACGACCCTAACCCTGGCAACCCAATGCTGAATCACCCAGCCATGAGATGGATGGTTTTAAGCATGGAAGAAGGGAGGTGACATCCCAAACCTCTGCTCTGCCCACATAGGTCTCCTACCTTGGTGTTTCCCTTTGCCTTCAGGCATCTCCTCAAACAATTCAGGGGTGAATTACAAGCGAGAGCTGAAGGGATGGGCAACAGGGGATTCATCTCACCCAGGGACAAAGCAGAAATCCCAGCAGATGCTCTTTGGGCGCCAACACAGAGCCATTGCACTGCTGCATATCCTGAGAGCTCCTACACTGCCCACCCATCCAGCCCTGCCATGAAATGCCCCCCAAAATCCACTGCAAAGGCACGAATCCCCTGGCCAACCCTGTTCTCTCCCTGCTATCTTTGGTGGCATGGTTCCTTTCATGTTCGTGCTTCCTTACAGCCCTGATGTTTCACTTCTCCAAGCTGATCCAACACACGCGGGGCATCAGGATGAAGAAGGACCCAGCACAAAAGAAGCTTTGTCTCAGTCATCTCTTCCGGTGTGCTCCACATGGATGGGCTACGCTGGGCTTGGGGCTGACAAAGGGTGGATCACAGCATCCTGTTCTCCCTCTTCAACAACGCCAGAGTTTAAATAAGCAATGGAAATCCAGTATGTCAGAAGGAGAACAGCAAATGCTCCAGGTCCATCTCCACGTGGTGCAGCCACGGAAGGAGTAAGAATGAACTGAAGATGGTTTTTCCAGGAGAGGTGGGGAAGCGCCGGCCCTGCTGCAGTGAGCTGCGTTGGGGGAACCAGCAGAAGTCAGGATGGTTGGAAAAGAGGGCTCCTCGGGTTGGAGAGGTCCTCGGCACAGTGCTGAACAAGGTTAGTGCTTCCTCTTTTGTTTCAGGTGCTGAGAGGGCACCTTTTCCCCTTTCAGACCCGGGATGGATGGTACAGCACTGACCCAACTGCCTACAGGGGAACTGGAAGATGCTCAAGGTCTGGGACAAAACCATGAGAAATGCAAGCAGCATTAAACTGGAATGACTGGAATAAAACTGGTCTTGACTGGAGGCAGTTTGTCCACTAAAGGCCTTTTCTTCTTATCTTCAACTTGAGACGATGACAACTTTATGGCTTCGCTGTGGTTGTCCCTCCAGCAGTGTTATTCAGGATGCTAGAAATGCACTGATGGGTTTCAAAGCAGGGGAACCAAAAAAAGCACTGATGGAGAGATTGATTCATGAGAAAAAAAAAGATCAAAGGAGCGAACTCTCATTAGTGTTAACACAAAGTGCAAATGTCCTTCCAGGAACTTCAAAGGAAAGAAGCCGTGAAGATGAAACGTGGCTGTAGAATGAAAATCCTCCATCTCTCTTGGCCAACGAGCCAGAGATGTCTGTGGGATGATGTCCACTGGGGAGGGTGTGCTGTGGTCTGGAGGGATGACCATGAGCTCAGGTGAGGTGCACAGAGTGAGCTGGGAGAAAGAAAATGAAGTCGTGAGGACTCCCCTTTGCCTCACAGGGCCGCAGCGTTTCTGGGAACCCAACAGGGGTAGAACACGACATCCCCCTCAAAAAAGCCCAGCTGGTCCAACTGGTGACACTTTACAAGCAGGAGGAGCCCAAATCCCTTGAAGAATCACTTGCTGATGTGGTATTTCCAGAGAAACAAAGAGCTGTTCTGCACCAGGAGGTGCACGTGCTTGTTTAGACAAGTGTTAGCATTTTGAGATGAAATCTGTGTGAGAGGCAGCCAGGCAGGCTGCAGCATGACCATGACATTGAAAAGAATGCAATTTCACCAACCAAGCACCTCCATGGGACTCCGACTGCGAAAAGAATCCCCAGCCTTCCCGTGTCACACCTCCTTTATAAGAACAACATGCTTTGAGTCGTTCTCTGCCATGCTCTGTTTGCCAGAAAGCCAGAACCACAGCACAGCACTTGGGAAGCCCAGCAGCTGTTTTGTGTGCTGGCACAAGTATGAATTTGCTCAGCAAGGATCCTGAGAGGTTGAGACCCCACTGGAAGCACTGAGGTGTGAGCAAAGCTGGGTGCTGCAACCCCGTGTGCAAGTGAGTGCTGAAAAAATGGGGTTTAGCAGTGGAAATGAGACAAACTACCCACCAGCCTCAGTATTTCAAACACAGCCAGGGCACTTCTCAAGAAAGCTGGGGATGCATTGTTCCATTGTCTGTATTTCCTATGAAACAGGATTGACTTCCTCATCAGATACATAGGAAACGGGCCAGCAGCGTCACAGCTGCCAGCAGCTCCCGAGATGGACAAGGCAGAAGGAGAAGGACCATTCCTTCCCCTGGGATGTGGGGAGTGCAGCTGGGCCAGGAGGGCGAGAAAGCAGGACCTCCATCACGTAGGGCTTTCCTGGTTCTATATTCTCCTGCACAGAAGCGCTGCTTTGGTGTCCCCCCATGAAGTCATCGCATCCGTTGAGCTGCTTGCACGTGGCTGGGTTTCACTCAACTGGGCTGTGCTTAGCATAGAGCCTAAGTGAGAACAACTGATGCTGGATGTGAGGCCAAACCACAGCTCACATGGAATCACAGAGTCATTAAGGTTGGAAAAGACCACTAAGGCCATCGAATCCAACCATCAACACATCCCCCACCACGTCCACTCACAGAACCACGGGATCGTTAAGGTTGGAAGAGACCTCCAAATCCATCGAGTCCAACCCCAACCCACCCCCACCGTCTCCACTCACAGAATCGTGAAGGTTGGGAAAGACCTCCAAGACCATTAAAAGTCCAATCGTTGACCCACCCCCACCTTGCCCGTACACCACGTCCTTCCTTGAGGAAGGATGTCTGTGTGCAATGCCACAGGGACCAACCCCAGCCCCTCTCCTACCTCTTTTGGCATTTCCCGTGGGAAGAAGAAATAAGGCACTGCAGACACGGCCACGAGGCTGGCTGCCACCAGGAAGCCGAGCCACCAAGCACCAACCCACCGTGGGTCTTTGTTGGTCAGCAGGACCTCATCTGCAGCACAAACAGATGGAATGGTGTTTAGTCTGAGTCCAACAGTGCAACGAAGGCGTGATGCTGAGTGGCCCCAGGCACCCAAGACAACGGTGTGCTCCATGGAGGAGGTTCCCACCCTGAGGACCATCAGTTCTGAGGTCCAAGCCTGAAGGTGTACTAAGTAAGGGTGTAGCTGATAATAAATTAGAAGTCGTTGACTCCCTCCTGGGTAGAGAGGCCTCTCAGAGAGATCTCAGTAAATTGGAGAGCTGGGGAAGGTGTCAGGAAGGGTCGGGCTGAGTGTTAGGGAAAGGTTCTGCTGCATTGGGCAGTGGGCATGGGGCTGAGCTGCCGGAGCTCAGGGAGCTCTGGGACACAGCTCTCAGCCATAAGGTTGGGTGGTGAGGTGCAGGATCAGGAGCTGAGCTCACTGGTCTTTGTGGATCCTCTCCAACTCGGGATATTCCACGGTTCTGTAGAAGCACGGAATCACCAAGTTTGGAAAAGACCTCCAAGGTCACCTAGCCCACCTACCACTGACATTTCACAGAATCACAGAATCACCCGGGTTGGAAGGGACCTCAAGGATCACGTAGTTCCAACCCCCCTGCCCAGCAGGGCCACCAAACATCCACATTCAGATCAGGTTGCCCAGGACCCCGTCCAACCTGGCCTTGAACACGGCCAAGGACGGGGCATCCACAACCTCCCTGGGCAGCCCGTTCCAGGGCCTGACCGCTCTCCTTGTGAAGAACTTCCCCCTAACATCCAACCTAAATCTTTCCTCCCTCAACTTGGATCCATTTCCCCTCGTCCTGCTGTTGTCAGCCCTTCTGAAGAGTTTACTCCCCTCCTGGCTGTAGGTTCCCTTCAGGTATTGATAGGCTGCACTGAGGTCACCCTGCAGCTTCTCTTCTCCAGGCTGAACAAGCCCAACTCCCTCAGCCTGTCCTCATAGGGGAGGTGCTGCAGCCCCCTGCTCATCTCATTCGCCCTCCTCTGGACCCTTTCCAAGATCTCTCTGTCTTTCTTGTACTGAGGGCTCCACACCTGGACACAGGACTCCAGGTGGGGCCTCACAAGAGCCGAGTAGAGAGGGACGATCACCTCCCTGTCCCTGCTGACCACCCCTCTCCTGATGGAGCCCAGGATCCCATTTCCCTACTGAACCGCGTCCCACGGTACAACATCCAACCTGGATCGTGCCGTGCTACCAATCACAGAACAGTTTGGGTTGGAGGGGACACTTAAGGGTCACCCAGTTCCAACTCTGTGCTGTGGGTTGGACTGTCACCCACCCAAACATTCTGCCCAGGGTCCCATCTCAGCTCGCTCCTCAGCAACGCAGCACGATGGGGACGGATGGCCGAGCAGAGCTGCTGCCCTCACCCACCTCCAGCCACTTTGTCGATGTCGACGTAGAAACGCAGCATGCCAGAGCCCAGCATGAAGCCCACCCCAGGCCCAACCACGGTCAAGGAGAACAGGATGCCTGCAGGGAAGAGAGCAGAGAGGGGCTCACCCCCGTGCAAAGGGGCCGTGGGGGCTGCAGGTGGCTCCCACCACACCTGCCCCCACTGTGGGCTGTTTCCCAGCAGCTTTCTCACCTCTCTCCTATTGACATCTATCCTATCTATGGGGATAACAACCCCGTGCTTTCCAGGCTCCTTGTGCAGGAAAGGTTTTGCAAAACTCAGACGTTTCCTTGCTACCTTTCTCCAGCCTTCTCAGCAAGTTGAAATTCCCCCAGGGAGCCAGATGTGCCCTTTGACATCATAAATCTAGATAAAACTAAGTTGTTCAAGGGATTTTTGATGTCATCATGCCATGTGTGTTAATTTCCATTGCCAGTTTACTGCCCGCCCTTTGCAGGGTGAAGGTGATAACAGTTATCAGCAAACCCTTCAATTTGAATTGCCGATGAAAACTATAAACATGCTAAACATCCCGCTCCCATTCTTTTAAATGAGCTCCAAAGGTCTGGAGCAAAATTTAGAACCACGGAATGGTTTGAGTTGGAAGGGAACCTTAAAGGCCATCTGGTCCCGCTCCCCACAGCGCACAGGGACACCCACAGCTCCAGCACTGCTCAGATCCCCATCCAGCCTGACCTTGGCTGTCTCCAGAAATGGCTTATCCATTTCATAGGGCGCTTCCAGACAGCAGTGACCTGTTTTTGAGCCATCCTTGCAGGCCCATCCAGCTCAAAATACAGATAATAGATGCCGAAGGGCTTGGAGGACCTGCGTGGACCATCTCATCCATCCCACCACCGTGAGACATCTCTCTCATGCATCTGCCCCCACTTGTTGCACCGAAGGATGCTTGCCCACCCTCTAGATGGTTGTTCCTGCTGTTTCAGCCTCTTATCATTTTCCCCACACCTAAAAGCAATCCCAATTGCTCCCCTAAGTCACATTTTCCAGCACACCTGGTCCGTCTGTTCCTGCTACAGAGGGTTAATTCTGTTTTCCCCTCTTTCCACCACCGCCCCAGCCTTACCCAAGTAGAGGGGGGAGTTCCTCTCGCTGGCAAAGTCGTCGATGTAGGAGATCCCGAAGGGTTGGATGGGGACACCGCCGATGCCCAGCAGCACCTGAGCGATGAACATGACGAGGAGAACCTCGTGGTTCTCCCTGGCGGTGTGGGGGGCACAGATAGAGTCACTGAGGTTCCCCGAGGAGCCCATGCCTTCGGGTTGGCACAGGTCGGTGGTGTTGCTGAACACACCTGTGGGGAAAAGAAAGGGTCTGAGGGTTGGTCAGGAGAAAAGAAGAGAGTGATTTGGGTTGGAAGGGACCTTAACGATCATCTACTTCCAATCTCCCTGCAGCGAGCAGGAAAAACAGGAATATAATCATATCATAGAATGATAGAATGGCTTGGGTTGCAAAGGAGCAACAGGGCTCATCCAGCTCCAACCCTTGCTGTGTGCAGGTCAGCAACCAGCAGCCCAGGCTGCCCAGAGCCACATCCAGCCTGGCCTTGAATGCCTGCAGGGATGGGGCATCCACAGCCTCCTTGAGCAACCTGAATAAGACCGTATGGGAGGTGTTCATAACAGGATGTTCATTACACCCTAAATCACCTGCAAATCCAAGTGCTCAACACAGAGCCACCTGCACCACCCACTCCAGAATGAGTGGTTAATTGTTATCCAACCACCATTTACACCCGATCCCTGCGTGCAGCTGTGAATTATTCACCTATTCCATCTTCCTTTAGTGCCCATAGCTGAGCAACCCAGCTGCTCTCTGATGAGCCAGAGAAAAAGCACTCACTGGAGGCTCCTGTAGGATTTGCTGGAGCTTTGTGGCAGAACTTCATAGAGTCATAGAATGGTTTGATTGGGAAGGGACCCATGAGGGTCACCTGGTCCCACTCCCCTGCAATGCATGGGGACACCCACAGCTCCATCAGTGCCCAGAGCCCCATCCCCTGACCCTGCGTGTCTGCAGGGTTGGGGCATCCACCACCTCTCTGGGAACGGTGTCACAAGAGAGAAGGATTCTCCCTTCTTTTCTTCTCATCCATTCGCCTTCTTTCAGGAAGAAGCTCCTGATTTGACCCTGACCCTGTTCTCCATGAGCAATAGATGCCTGTTCCTCACAAGATGTTGACTTTTAGACAGGGTCTAAACCCCAATGAATCCCTCTCAGATGTCTCAGATGCACATGGGCAGGAAGGGAGATGCCCCGCAAGCAGGAGATGGGCGTGAAGCTGCTGCTCACCCACTGCAGATGACATTTCACCTCCTCTGCCATCCTCGCTCCTTCCCACAGCTCCAATTTCCTTCCCGTAAAAAGCTTCAGGGGTCAATGTACACAGCGTGCCTTATCTCAGGAAAATGAAAGTAAAGGAACAGCTGATGCGGGTCAGCTTGGAGCAGCTGATGGAAGAGATGGCTTCTGTGCTATGGGTGAGGTCAGCTTGGTGCAATTCATGGAAGATGAGAGCCCTGATGTCTGGAGAAGGCCTTCCTGCTGCCTGGCTGCAGCATGGGACAAGGGGAACCAAACTTCATGCCCACCTCATGCCCTTCCCTCTGGCTCCAGCATACAAGCTGTCTCCTGGCTCTGCCTCCCCCCGGGCAGCTGTTGCCATTGGGCACTGAGATGGTTTAATTCGCTCATTAAAACTCATCTTGCAGCTGCTGACGCCTCAAGAGAAGATCGTTTCCTTCCTCTATCCCAAAAGGCATAAAATAAGTTCCTAGAGTACCTACTGGCAACGGACTGGTCGTACTCATAGGGTCCTGTGATGAAGTGAGGGAGGGACATGAGGAACCCAGCCAAGGAAACCAGGATGGCACCGCAGCCGATGAAGCGGGGCCGGTGCACGCGGCTCCCAAAGTAGCTCATGAAGACAATCAGCAGCGTGTTCCCCACCTGCAGCAGGACACAAAGCAAGAAGCCTCAGAAATGCCAGCAGAGGAGCGTGGGAGGAGGATGGATGGGAGAAGTGAGCAGGGCTCACCTCATTGAAGGACGCGAGCAGCCCTGATGTCTTGCTGGAGAGGCCGTAGCGTTTCTCGATGGTTGAGATGGAGCTCTTCAAGTAGCTGGAGACCAGGAGCTGGGAGAGCTGCAGCAGCCCGTGGCAGAACACAAAGAACTGCCGACACAAAGCGAGAGCATCAGGCACCGTCACTGCGAGCTGCAACACTGCAACAAAAGCGTTTGTGCAACTCCTGCACTAAGGCACGGTCATGGAACAGAAACTAGCCAATGTGGGATCATAAAAGGCAAGTCCTGCTCGACCAGCCTTGTCTCCAACCTTGCAAATCTTATTGGGAGCAGATGAGGGAACTGGGATGGTTTAGTTTGCAGAAGAGGAGGTCAGGGGAGACCTCACTGTGCTCTTGAAAGGAGGTTGTGGAGAGGTGGGGGTCAGCCTCTTCTCAGGTAACAGCGACAGGACAAGAGGAGACGGCCTTCAGTTGCACCAGGGGAGGTTCAGGTTGGATATTAGGAGAAATTGGTTCCCCAAAGAGTGGTTGAGCATTGGCACAGCTGCCCAGGGAGGTGGTAGGGTGTTCAGGAGCCATGGGGCTGTGGCAATGAGGGATGTGGTCATTGGGCATGGTGGGGGTGCTTTGGGTTTGGGTGTGGGGATCTGAGAGGTTTCTCCAGCCCTAATGGCTCAATGGAATATTCTCTCTGCTCCTGCCAGCAGTGGTTTTCTGAAGCTCAGTCACCACCATTAAGTAGATCTCTGCTCAAAATTACCAGAGGGTGAATGCTCGTAAGGAGGGTGCATTTCTTCAGCAGATAAATGGCTTTGGATCAACAAATCCTTTCACCTGGGCTGCTGCTCACTTGTGTTGGCCTTGACCTGAGGTCTACAGCAGGAGTTGTGCAGCCCTCCTATACCCAGCCCAGCCAGCCTGACCCCAGCAGCCTCCCCGGTGCTGGCAGGAGATCCAGGATGGGAATGAGCCCTTCCAAACATGGCAACAAGCAGCTCCTCTCGAGAAAGTCAGGAGGAGGTCAGGGAGGGGAATTCAGTTCTCCAGTTTCCCCCCATTTTTTTTGTTCATTTTTAGCTCTTGCTAAGATTTGGATGCAAAGGGTGTTACCTTCTGCTGGAAAGCGGGGTGGCTCTTCTTCATTTCCAGAAGGAAAACTTGTCAAAGACTGCCAGCATCCCAGAACAAAGCCCTGAGCCCATCTCCTGCCAAGTTTGGGATGGATTTGTGGTGTGTGCACAGCTGCCCCAAGAAACTCATGCCTGAGGGCAGCATCCATCCTCCTGCTCCTCTCACAGAAGCATTTCTCCTTCATCAAACCATCCCAGGAGGGATGGAGTCTCCCTCCACCACATCTCTGGCACTCAGTAAAGGGAGGGAGGTGATGGCCAATCTCTTACCCTGCTGCCACGTGGCTCACCACGTCCTTTCCCAGTCTCCAAAGGAGTTCAGACCACCTCAGCACCCTAAGGAGCACCAGGGTGTGGGTGCCACAACCTTCAGCCACGTGTCGTCATCCTGCACAGCAGGACGCCAGCCGGATAGGATGGGCAGAATAAAGCACAGAAAAGGGAGATGCCTGCACAGGACTCCACGTGGCTGGGTTACAGCTCTGGACCAGGACCCCAGTGATTCTGGCTCAACCACCTGCTGGTTATTTATCCAGCAGGAAAAGAGGAGCAGGCTGGTGGCCATTGGATCCGCTGGAGAGACAGGCATCCCTGCTGCCCTGCGTCTTGTTCTGCACAGACATCCAGGTGTTCACAAACCCCTCGCCCCTTCCCCATCCCTTCCCACTTCTTGGAGCACAGGTTGTGATCCCTGGCCCTCAATGCCTGGGATGTGACACCACGCATCCCCATCTCCTTCAATCCAGCTCGCTGGATTTGGGGTTTGGTTCTGTCCCAGCGGTGAGGTCTGTGATCGCAATGGAAGCAATGGAAGCAGGCTGGGGGCATTCTCTGGTGCTAATGTCATGGCAAAAATAGCCAGCAGTCATCCTACCAAGTGCCCCAAGCACACACAACAAGGGGGCTTCACCAAAGGCAAGGGAGGGGGTTCACAAAAAGCATTGGGGTTTAACCAGAAACAGTGGGGTTATGACAAAAACAAGGGGTTGTGACAAAAACGAGGGGGTTTCAACCCAAACAAAGGGCTTTCAGGCAAAGCAAGGAGGGTTCAAAAATAAAACCAAAACAACGGAGGTTTCACCAAAAAAAAAAAAGAACAAATCAAAATCAAACCGAAAAGAACCAAATTCAGCACATAAAGAAAGGGGAGTTCAACAAAAACAACGAGGTTTCACAAAAACGTCGGGATTTCAGCCAAAAAAAAAAAAAAAAAAGGGAAGATTTCAACCCAAACAAAGGGGTTTCAAAAAACAGAAAACAAAAAAACCAGCAAGGCAGTTTCACCAAAAAAACAATGGGATTTCAACCAAAGCGAAAGGAATTTCAACAGAAACGGGGGGGTTTCAAAAAGCAACAGAAGGGGATTTCGCAAAACAAAGGGAGTTTAAACCCAAACAAGGGGGTTTCAACCAGAACAAGGGGGTTTCACCAAAAATAAAGGGGGTTCAACCAAAACAAGAGGTGTCAGTCAATAAAAGGGGGGGTTTCAACCCAAACGAGAGAGCTTCCCCAAAAACAAGGGAGTTTAACGAAAGCAAGGGGGGCTCAATCAAAACAATAGGGTTTCAACCAAAGAAGGGGGGCTTTACTGAAAATAAGAGCTTTTTCACCAAAAAAACCCCTAAGGGTTCAAAAAAACCAAGAGGATTTCCACCAAAATGAGGGGGTTTCACCCAGAATGGGAATGGTCCCCAGGCCTCAGCTTCCTATTCTAGGGGGAAAGTGGCAGCCGGCCCTGGGCGATGCCACATAGGCAGCACACTGCAATCCAGAGCCCCGGAGATCCCTGATCTGCTGGGAATCTGGGGATGAAAACCATCTCCCTGGGGCTTCCCAGTGATGGAAAGGAATCTCACGGGGGAACAAAACTCAGAACTGGAAGAAGGACCCAGGGAGGGAGCAGGAGCCACGGGAGATCTGCAATGGTGCAACCACTGCGGGACCCTTTGGGAGAAGCAAAGGGGAGGAAACTCAGCACAGCTTCCTGAGGTGGACATTGATAGCAGAAGGACTGCTTTGCTCTTTCATTGAACGTTCTGACCTTTTGTCTCCAGCACGTGACTTTTATGAAATGACTGTTAGTGACCAAAGGTTGAAAAGCAAAGAGCAAGCAAAAACACGAAGAGCACTGCCCAATTTTTTTCCCCAAGTTCTGCAGTGATTTTAAGCCAACAAGTTTTGGGGGAAAAAAAAAAAAAAAAAGCATCTCAGCAAAACTCAGTTGTTTGCAAAATCTGGAAGAACTTCTTCACTTCCCATTCCTCCACGGTGGTGATTTGCTTTTCTCGGGCAGCCAAATCTTGCACATAAAGCTCTGTGAGGCCACATCTCCTCTTTGCGCTCCTCCGGGAGTCACTGCCTTGACCGCAGGGCATCGTTAGGCTGGGGAATATCTTAGTGAACAAATAAACAGAGAGTGGGGTAATTGCTGGTGTCCGATTCCCAGTTTGCACCGTTGCAGTTGTGCCCCTGCACGATGTCTGCCATGGGGTCCTGTTGGGAATAAACCCACTTGGCCAGGGAAACCTGCTGATAAACCTGGGGAAGCGCACCAACTCAATATGAGTGAACAGCTTCCTTTATTGTAAATACAGCAAACCTTATAAAGATACAGAACCCGAAACCACGGTTATAAACAACTCTATAGATCACATACCTAGGGTATAGTGTTCAGACAGGCATATCGAAGGAACAAAAGCGAACATTCCATAAACCCATATACCAAGCACCGTTGCTTAGGTACAATCTATGCTACAGTCATTCCAAGCACAAACCGTCCCTGGCTCCTAAGCCACGCAAGCTAGTTTGATCATCTTCTAGAAACCCAGATTAGGGTACGTGATAAAACCCACTGCAATTCCCCCCTTTTTATTTTATGGGCGCATCTCAAGATATTCCAAGGAGCTATGACCTCCTTGTTCCTTAAGCCAATCTTGAATAAAATTATTCGTAGAAAACGTTGTACTAAATACCGGCATGGCTCGAGGGGGATCGACTGCCCTTTGAAGACAGGGTTCCTCCAATGAGGTCCTATCAGTCTTCTTCTTCTTCCCTTTGGGGCAGAAGACCACCAGGGCTGGACACGTGAGGATGCAGATGATACCTTTCAGTCGTCTCAGCTGGGGCAGGGAGATAGGATGTGAAACAGGGCCTCTGTGTCATCCTTCTGTGCCATTTAGTTGTTTCAGACCGTGACTTGGGACCAGTGGGATAAACTGGCCTGGGTCAGATGGGCATCGTGACAATGAATCCTCTAGATTTATTGATCCAGGAGCTCAGGAAGCCCCATTATTTTAACATATATGAAATTTGGCTGAGAGGCAACCTTCCTGCAGCCGAAGGCCATCCTCAAAAGTGACCCCATCAGCCCGTGGAACCCAGCTCCTCCTGCGCTGAGCATCTCCACCATCCACAATGGAGTTGGAATCGCAGGATCACTGAATCATTAGGCTCACGGAGCCACAGAATCAGTAAGGTTGGAAAAGACCTCTGAGGTCATCAAGTCCAACCCCAACTCATCCCCACCGTGCCCACTTACAGAGTCATTAAGGTCAGGGAAGATTACTAAGATCATCAAGTCCAACTTTTAACCCATCAGCTGGGGAAAAGATCACTGGGATATGAGGTGGGTCTGCAAGCACGAGCCCCTCGTGCCTGACAGCTGCACAGACCTCCCAGAAGCAACCCCAAAGGCAGCTGCTCAGCATCTCCTCCTCATTAAGGGCCAAGCCACACTGACATCCCCCCTCCTTATAAATTGGCAGTGTGCTAACGACTCGAAAACTCCAACTGAGTGCTTGCGTAGGCTGAGGAAGGAAGGGAGAGGCTTTTTAATGCAATTTACGTAAACATTTGATGCCTCCCAAATGACTCGTCTGCAGGAAACACCTCGAAGGAGGCAGGACTTGAAGGCAAACACTGTCCTGGAAGCTGAGAGAGAGGCAGAGCAAGATGGGTTCCCATCAGGGACCTGAGCGCAGAGCTGGGCCACCACCAAGTCCAGCACTGTGTCTGCAGTGGGGGTCAGACTGCAGATAGGACATCTGTCCAGAGCAAAGGGGAACTGCAGAATCATAGAATCACGAGGTTGGAAAGGATCTATAAGATCATCCGGTCCAACCATCCTCCCATCACCATTACTACCACAAGCTACTAAGGCGTATCTCGCAGGGAACCTCTCTGCTAGAGGGCTGGAACTGGACGATGGCTTGGGGCTGGATGATCTCTATGCTTCCTTCCGATCTAAGCTGTTCTTGGATTTCTGCCTCTCAAGGAGTTCTTCTCCTGGTCTGTACTCATATCTGGGATTGCCCCTACCCAACAGCATTTGTTGAACCCTCCGGGTTCTTGATTGCCCATTTTTTGAGCACGTCCATGCCTCTCTGGATGGCATCTCTTCCTTCTTTGTGTCAACTTTACAACTCAGCTCGGTGACATCTTCAAACTGCTGAGGGTTTGATCCCACCATCAGCATCACTGATAAAGATGTCGAAGTGCACCATTCCCAAAACAGACCCCTGGGGGACATCACTTGGCACCGCCTCCACTCGGACACAGAGCCACTGACCACCACCCTCTCCAACCACTCTGACCATGCAACCAATTCCTTCTCCATCCAATAGTCCACTCTTCAAACCCGTACCTCTCCAATTTAGTGACAATGATGTGGTGCAAGACTATGCCAAAGGCCTCGCACAAGTCCAGGCAGACAACACCAGTTGCCCTTCCTTTGTCCACCAGTGCCATCCCTCCGTCATAGAAGACCACCAGAAGATCAAGCACCAGATTGTCCTCCCTACCACAGGAGGAGCAGGGAGCAAAATTCTCAGCAGTGCTTCTCCCTGCAATCATGGCCTCTTGGAGAAACTCACTATTTTTTCTTTATATTTCTGAAAGACTCCACAGGAACTTTGCAGTTTCTTCTCTACGAAGCCTTGCATCGTGCTGGCACAGTATGAGTGCTCCTGAGCGCACTCACAGGGGGATACAGAACTGCAGCCAAGTCTAGATAGGCAGCAAAATGTAGGACTGGGAACTGAACACCAATAACTTCCCTTTCAATGCTTTGGGAATAGAAAGAAGACTCTTACAAAGCTTCTGTTCTGTTTGCCAGTTTAATTGCAGCCCGTTGCATGGAACTGGGTGTAAAGCTCCAGCACTGATCTGGCAGTGACTGGCAACAGAGGTGTGGGGCAAGGACAGCTCTGTTCTGCTTTTCAAGCAAGGCACAGAGCAGAAGACATCAAGGGCTGAATCCAGGGTCAGGTGCACCATGGAAAAATGGCAGTCCATGCATTCAGGACTTTGCCAGGGTGTTGGAGCCACAATGGGCTTCAGTGGAAGCATCAGCAGGCCTGACTTTATCTATCCTGATGCTATCTATATTGACATCAGCTATCTTGACATTATCTATTCCAGTGTTAGCTGTCCAGAAGTGATCCATCCTGATGCACTGTGGGAATTACTGTCAGATATCTTTATGAGTTCATGGCCCATCAGCCCACGGAACGTTCCCTGGGAGGGAACAGCTTGAGTTACGCTTCTCTGTTCCCTTTGGACACGCAGCAATTAACTTTCACACCCCCATATATTCATGCTGATAAAAACTGCACTCCTCAGTCACTTCGAATGCACAAATTGCACTGTGCAATTGTTTGGTGTTCCTGGGAGTTCAGTTCAAGCACTGGTCTTGATGTTATCTTCTGTAAGGAAGTCATCTGCTCATTTAGAAACTGGACGGGGTGACAGAACTTCTTGAAAACCCAAAAATAAATATAGAACAAGGTTTGGGGGAAGCATCATGTGCTGAGCTGTGTAGCTGGAGACAGGCAAGCCCAGCTGTGCCATAGGGGTGAGAAGAAGCCCTTTGACCGTTCAGTGTGGAACACAGAGCTGGAAGAGGTGTTGCTCTCCTTTGTCATGCCTGGCCATGGCTTTGGTGGTCCAGCAAACATGAAGGATCAGTCAGAGCTTCTTATGCACTGGCACAGGTTGCCCAAGGAGGCTGTGGATGCCCCATCCCTGCAGGCATTCAAGGCCAGGCTGGATGTGGCTCTGGGCAGCCTGGGCTGCTGCTTGGCGACCTGCACACAGCAGGGCTTGGAGCTGGATGAGCATTGAGCTCCTTTGCAACCCAGGCCATTCTATCATTCTGTGATTTTTCCCTTCTCATCTTTCCATGAGCAGAAATCCGTCTCTATGATACCATGAGGAATACTCTATGAGGAACATGGGTACCTCCTCACCCCGTTTCCACCCAAATCCCTCCCTTTTAGCCCTTCTTGGGGTGGGCTCCAGACACCTCCCAGTATCATTCCAGCACATACCACCACTTTGAGAGCTGCCTATCTGCAACCTGAAGCTCCCCCAGCTCCTCCTGAGCACCTGCCCTCGTGGACGTCTCACTCAGCAAAACGGATGTTGGTTCTCCACATAGACCCGTGCTGATTTTGCACACCAGAGGCTTTCATGACTGGAGTTTCGAACCGCTTTAAAATGTCTTTGCAAGGAAAAATCGATGCGGTTTTATATTTAAAGATGTTCATGATGGAGTGTGAAAAAATAGAACTGCAGCGACTGGAAAGAGGGTGGGGAAAAAAGCCCAGGACTGCATGGCACCAGTCCTGTGCATCCAGCGCATGCATTTCTGGTGACCCACTGCCTATGTGACTCTGAGATCACTTTGTGACCTGCAAGGATGACAAGGTTAAATTCATCCACATTTATTAAAAAAAACACCACAAGCCTAAGCAATGTTCCTTGCTAAAATAATAAAGAAATGTTAGCCTTGAACACTGGGGTCTTTTTCCCTTATGCCTGGTGGGACTCTGATATTGACTCCCAGCTACACTGCTGGTAGCATTAAATTATCTTTAACTGAGGACACATGGTGGCCCTGAGTCTGACAGGACATTGCATTTCTGTAGGACTCTGAAGGAGCAAGCTTTATATGACTGCCCTCACCACGTCACCACCAACCCTGCTAAGTCAATGGAAGCATCTCGCATCCTGTGCTCCGTTTATTCACCCGAGAGCCTCAGCGTTGGTCCTCTCCCTTTCTTTAAAAGATAACACTGGGACAGATGATGTCAGGATAGAGAACGTCCAACTTCTCTTTGTTCAAAGAGCATCTTGAAGGCTGATCCTCACAAGCTCAATGACACGCTCCATTGAGCGGAGAAATTGCCGCCCAGCTGCTGCTTGGCTTTGGTTGTCTGCCTCTGTGGGCACGTGGGAAAAGAGCACGAGACTTCCAAGCTTTGTAGAACAAAAGATGGAAATATGAGCTGATGCCTGCTGAGCACTCGATTTCTTCCTGCAAGGCAGCAGTTGGTGCTGATTTGCAATGTTTTCTGCCCAATTTGCAGACGTTCTTTATCTCGGTGTTTATGCCTTTTTCCCTTCTGAACGTTGCTGCGCTGTGCATCGCCTTCCCCAATAGAATTTTCACCGGTGGTCCCTTGTGGCCCCCACATTTCTTCCTCGCTTTGAAAGGGAACCTTCCACCTGGCTTTCCCATGGCTCAGCTCCAGGACGGAGCAAACCACTCACAGACACCGACTTCTGGAGATCCTCAGAGGGGTTTGACACGGCCCGTGTGGCTGGCTGCCTGCACTGGGCCCAGCAGAGCTTCTGGGGTGATGCGGAGGAACCTCCCTGTGTGCCCCGGAACATGGGACAGCCCAAATACCCAACACAGAGCTACCTGAATCCACATGGGGCCAATGCAGGGCGGGTGGCCTGAGTCATTGTTTGGGAATAAATGCACACAGCAGCAGGGTTTACACCAGCTAGATGCCTACATTTCTGTAGGAATAAGCAGCAATCCTATCAATGCCTTCTGCAGGAAGCTAAGCTTCTCCAGGCCAGCAAAACCAAAGGGGTTACGGAAAGCAGGATGCATTTACCTTGATGCTGAGAAATGGGTTCCTGCAGAGTGCTTTCCGGGACCGATCCGGGCAGCTGCTCTTTGTAGCAGTGCTTGTCATTCTGTCAGGTCTGCTTTGTCCTCCTGCCAAAATAAATCATGTGGCACAAAGCTAAGTGCTCCGTAGGAATCTGCCTTGCTCAGCACAGCAAAATCCTGTCATGCTTTGCAAACGCCCACAGAACCGGCGCACGGTCATCATCATATTAATTGTTCTCGGTTTTAATTTCTGTTAGCCTTTCATTTCTGCAACAAGCAGCATGCAAAACACGAGCACACTCATCCTCAGGGCGCATGAGAGGTTCAGAATTATCAGTTATTTCACTCCAATGCAACAAAGTACCAACTGCTTGAGGAAGGAGAGCTGGGGCCTGGATCCTGTTATTCCTGAATCCCAGTTGTACCAAAATGTAGAATTACAGGAGCACAGAATGGTTGGGTTGGAAGGGACCTTAAGGATCATAGAGTCATGGGATGAGTCAGGTTGGGTTGGGTTGGGTTGGGTTGGGCTGGGTTGGAGAGTCCCTTAAGAATCATAGAACCATAGAGTGTGTTGGGTTGTGTCGGGTTGGAAGGATTGGGTTGGAAGGGTCCTTAAGAATCGTAGAACCATAGAATGTGTTGGGTTGTGTCTTGGGTTGGAAGGATTGGGTTGGAAGTGTCCTTAAGAATCATAGAACCACAAAATGTATTCGTGGGGTTGGGCTGAGTTGGGTTGGGTTGAAAGGTGTGGGTTGGAAGGGTTCTTAAACATCACAGAGCCACAGAATCTGTTGTGTTGGAAGGGAAGTCAAAGACCATAAAACCATTGAATGGTTGGGTTGAAAGGGACCTTAAATATCGAAGAACCATAGAATGAGTTGGGTAATGTTGGTTTAGGTTGGGTTGGAAGGGACTATGAAGACCACAGAGTCACGGAATGGGTTGGGTTGGAAAAGTTCACCAAGACCATCCAGTCCCACCATCAACCCACAGCCACCATGCCCACTCCTACAATCATAGATGCACTGAGGCCAGAAAACACCTTGAAGATCCCCAAGTCCAACCCCAACTCGTCCCACCATGCCCACTACCCATGTCCTTCAGTGCCACATCTACACGCTGTGCCTGGGCCAAAATCCACGACGTAGAATTTTTCCAGCCTCAGGTCACACCAGGGAGGTCTGGATTGGATCTGAGGAAGAATTTCCTCGTGGAGAGGGTGGTCAGGGGATGCCCAGGGCAGTGGTGGAGGCCCCATCCCTGGAGGGTTCAAAGGGCATACGGATGTGGCACTGGGGGACAAGGTTTGGTGATGGGGCTGCACCTCAACTGGAAGCATCGCCTGCTTCCTGGCTTCACAGCCATCTCAACTGAACTGCAAAAAGAAACAGAAACCCATGGGAACCCCTCCCTACACCTCTGACCTCCTTCCCCGCTCATCCATCTCTTCCCTCTCTCTGCAGTGAGTGATGGGTTTGGGTTTTCAGCAGGGTTGGCTATTCAGTGCCCAGACTTCCTGAGCAGGAAGTTCCTGCATTGTTTGCAGGCCTGCTAAACCCATTAGGCTGCAGCTAATTGTTCAGCACACCCACATAGATGTTTCCATCTTGGTGCCCTCAGGCTCCACAGCAAATGGGGCGAAGGGCTTTGCGTCATTATTTTGTGTAGTTCTATTTCCTCCAAGATGAGAAGCGAAGGAGCGGGTAGGGTAACCTCCAACAGGTTAACAAACACACGGGTTGAAGTAAATTCAGGAAGGAGCTGGCTTAATTGTGGTGTTTATAAGCCCTTAAGTGAATTGCATGGGAGAAGTAAACCCCAGACTGCTCACTTACCGGCTCCTTGGCTTCCTCTGCAAAAAGCAATCGCTGCCCTCAGCCCCATTTGCAGAGACAAGATATTGCTACAACAGGATCAATAGAGTGAATTTGATCATAAATTAAAGCTTCCACCAAAAGCTCCCCCTGAACCTCTGGAGAGCACAGGCAGCACAGGAGCAGAAGCACCCGCCCGGCTGCAGGGCACAGCATCCCGTATTGCCTGCCTGATGAATTATTGACAGCCATAAAGCATTTGGCTGCTGAAGCCACACCACCAAAGGGGCTTTCTGATGGAGCTGCAAAAAGCAAAGCCTGAGCTCTGGAGGAGCAATTGGGTGGATGCAAGGCCAAGCCTGGCTCCATCCCACCACGCACACCTCCTGCCAGGTGTCCTGTGGGCACTGCTGTATTCCCTTGGTCTGACTCCTCCCGAGACCCCAAATGCTGCAGGGTTACAGAGAGAAATCGTTCAGGTGCTGCTCACCCACAGGTAACGTTTGAGAATAAAACAATTAGACGAGCAGCACTTTGATCCAGCACTGAGGGCAATGAGCAGTTCAGGGGATAAGACCTCATTAACCATCCCGCCTTGCAGCGGGGATGGCAAACCCAGGAGACAAACCATCATCAGGGTGAGGAGAGAGGAAAGCAAAGAGGGCCAAACGCAGAGGGGTTTGGCTGCCTCTTGCCCCTGTGGGGGCTCTTGCAGCTGCAGGGAATGAGAGAGCACCAGCACTTTGCAAGGCGTGTTGCAAGCACTGCCACCAAAGCAAACAGCTCCTGGTGGCGCTGGCAGATGCTGTGCATGCAGAGCTGTTTACAAAACACGTGACCTCAATTAATAACCCGGGAGCAATTAGGTTCTGTTTGCGCAACCCGACACGTTGATGCAGTGAGCTGAACGAGTGCTGCCGGCGGTGCTGCCAGAGAGAGCAGTGCTGCAGCTGCTCCTGTGCTGCCACGTGCATCCCAACCCCAATGCACCCCAGAGCTGCTGCAACCCAGAGAGGTGTTTCCTGCACCCAGTGCTGCTCCGTTGGAGCTCAGTGTCTCACCTTTCCTCCCCCCATATGTCAGGAACACAGCAGTGCATTTACTTAGGGAGGGAAAAGGCAGGTCTGAGGCTGCGCATCCTCCAGATGACACTGCTCCAGCTGCAAGCAAAGGATTTGTCCTCAGAGTCTTATTTTCTCCAAACTGATGGCCTGGGTCACTGCATCCTTTGGTAGGGCAGAGCCTGGGGATGCTGGGGGTGGGGGATTGCGATGCTGAGCCTGGATCTGACACTTCCACACCAACAGATGCCATAAGATATGGCCATTCCTGACCTCCCTGCCCCCTAACACCACTGCTGTGGACATAACCCCATTGCAAAATCTTTACTGAACAGCACGGCTCCTGCTAGCTGAACAAGGGAAAGCACACACTGGGCTCAGCTTTGGAAAATAACAGTGAATGTAATACTGCAAAGCAAATCCCCACGGGGGATTCATCTGTTATTCATCTCCTTTCTGTGGGATTTCTCAGTAATTTGCACTCTGCAGTGGTAAAGTGGGAACAGTGCCTGTGTGTGTTGATGAGCCCCTGTGTTAATTGGGAAACTGGCTGAGAAGATGATCTGTAGTACAGCAGAAGGAACAGAATCCTAGGCTCACAGAGTCATCATAGTTGCAAAAGGCCTCCAATGTCACCAGGTCCAATGGTCTACCCATTTCCATCGTGCCCCAGTCATAGAATCACGGGATCATGGAATCACTGACCTCCAAGAGTCCCAAACCTGACCTCAATCCTCCCCACCGACCACTCAGTGCCACATCTCCATGATTCTGGATCTCCTCAGGGATGCGACTCCATCAATCCCTGGGCAGCTTGAGCCAGTGCCAATAGATGGTAGCACCCCAAAGCTGCTTCCATCTTGCACCATTGGGCAAAAAGAATGGGACCAGCCCAGCTCAGTGACTTTGAAATGGGAGGTGTCAGGAAAATGGCACAGCGGAAGGCAAAAAAGAAAGTGAAAATGGGATCAGCCCAGCTCAGCAACACTTCCAACTGGGATGACACACGGCAGGGTACCCAGAAGCAAAGTAAAAGGAAATTTGCTGCTGAGAAGTGCAAAATTCAGAAGAAGAAAGAGAAAAATGGTGTTGAAACCTATGAGATGGGACAATGGGTGGTGAGGGAACCCCACCAACCCCAGCTCCTCTGCCCTGGGGTTGGGCTTATTGCACAGGAGGGAGAACAGAGACGGAGCACAGAGGCAACCAGAGCAATGGTGGTGATGTCCCACTGGAAAGCTTTATCCCACAGCAGCCCTGAAGTCCTCACTGCAGCAATGCCACCTCAAAATATGGCAGATCTGTCCACCCATTCACCTCCACTGTGGACGTTGAACCATGTTTGCAGTCAGCAAAGATGATGATTTGCAGCAGCAAATCAGAAAACAAGATTATTCAACGTGCTGCCTAAAACCTTAAGGGAAACAACTCAACGTGCAGAGATGCAGCCCTGTGTGGCTGATCCCTTGTGTGTCCTTGAGCTGAACTGCACTCCTGCTCAGGAAACTGCCAGCACAACAGTTGCAGAATTCACACAGCTGCAAGGGCACGAGCTGCAGGGAGACTGAGCAAGGGATTGCTTTGCACAGAGCAGGTCCTGAGATGGGAAGCAGCAAGAGCATGGGGGCTGCAGAGGTCCTGATCCAATCCTGGTGTGTTCTAACCCAAACCTGGTGGGTTCTGAGCCAGCTCTCATGGGTCCTAACTCAACATGATGGATCCTGACCCAACCCTGTTGGATTCCTGACCCAAATCTGATGTGTCGTGACCCAATCTGATGGGTCCTGACCCAACCTGATGGGTCCTGACCCAAATCTGATGGGTCCTGACCCAAATCTGATGGTTTCTGACCCAACCTGATGGCTGCAGTGCCTTTGGAAGTGACCCCTGTGAGGAATGGCTGTGATTGCCCAATTCCCAGCCTCATTGCTGATGTCTTTTCTGAGACAGGAGATCCCATCTCTCCCTGCTCCTTCTGCAGCCTCTGCATTTCCTTCCCTTTGCTCTCCAGTGCTTTCTCCTCTTGTGGGCCAGTCCATCTTGGCCCACGTAGCTCCACCTCTCCTGCTCCTGAGGATGGTGGTGGTGGTAACCACAACCTCAAAGTCACATCAGGACAGTCCCTGTGCTGAACAGACATGACGGAGTGGCATCCATCCTCAGAAATCGACCCTCCAAATGGTTCCCATTTTCCATGGATGAGATCGCAGAGAGTCGCAGCTCTCTGGGAGACTGCAGTAAGAGCTGCTCAGGGTTAAGCAATGCCAAAGGGATGGATCAGAGGGAAGGTGTGAGGAAATGCTGCTACAAAGAACAGGGAACTGAAAGAGGAGCTGAGGAGAAGTGCAAAATGTCCCCAGCCAGCAAAAGAGATGCTGAGTGGAGGTGGTTATAAATACCAGGAGGAAACACAGCGGATAGAAAAGATGGTGTCCCTAAGGGGCAACGATGGGACAAGGAGCCAGAGAGGCTGATGACAAAGGGCAGCCACAGCTCTGTGCAGCAATGGGTGCTGGAGCCAGACTGGGGGAAAAAAACAAGTATTTTGGGCACGGCCTGTTACCCAGGCTGGCAGTATTGCAAGTGCTACATCAGCCAACGTCAGTGGTGGGCTTTGCAATGAGTCCAGTCTGTGTTCTTTGGCCCAGAGATTAGAATCACAGAATTAAAGTTGGAAAAGGCCTTGAAGATTCCCAAGTCCAACCCCAACCCATCCCCACCATGTCCACTCCTACAATCGTAGACTCATTAAGGTTGGAAAAGGCCTTGAAGATCCCCAAGTCCAACCCCAACCCATCCCCACCATGTCCACTCCTACAATCGTAGATTCATTAAGGTTGGAAAAGGCCTTGAAGATCCCCAAGTCCAACCCCAACTCATCCCCACCATGTTCACTCCTACAATTGTAGACTCATTAAGGTTGGAAAAGGCCTTGAAGATCCCCAAGTCCAACCCCAACCCATCCCCACCATGTCCACTCCTACAATCGTAGATTCATTAAGGTTGGAAAAGGCCTTGAAGATCCCCAAGTCCCACCCCAACTCATCCCCACCATGTCCACTCCTACAATCGTAAACTCATTAAGGTTGGAAAAGGCCTTGAAGATCCCCAAGTCCAACCCCAACCCATCCCCACCATGCCCACCGACCCCACTAGGGGAGGTTTGGATTGGATCTTAGGAAGAATTTCATCACGGAGAAGGCAGCCAAGCAGTGGATGAGCAGCCTGGGAAGGTGATGGAGCACCCATCCCTGGATGATTTAAGAGCTGTGTGGATGTGGCACTGAGGGACAAGGCTTGGTGACAGGCTGATGGTTGGATTTGGCCACCTCAAAGGCCTTTTCCAACCTAGAACCACATCCCCGTCTGGCTGCTTCCAGTGCTCAGCAATTTTTCAACCCAAACCTGTGTCCCTTTGGGTCATTCGTGACTGTGGACCACCACACACGGGGCAGTGCTGCTTCTGGCAACCCACTGCAGCAGGGGGAGGTCGTTCATGCCACCACCCAGCACCCATCTTCCACTGTTGGATGGATGCAGAAAGCCTTCATCCTCAGAGGTGTTGCTTCTTTCCTTTTTGCTGCTGGGTTTTTTAACTCCCTTGGGAAGAAGGTGTGGGAGCATCTCCTGCACAATTCAGATGCATCAGCAAAGCCCAGTGAAGGAGGAGATGTTTTTTATCTGGAAGCCCCCAGCTGGAGCTGCATCCCAAAGCAACCCCATCCTGATTTCTGCTGGAGGATTGCAGCACTCAGATCAGGTTTCCAGCCTGCAATTCCCTCTGCTGCTCACTGCTCTGCAGCATCGTAACACTGCTGTCTCCTTTTCTTTCTCAAAACTAACATTCTGAGGTCCTGAGATGGGTCACGACCCTCCCCAGCCATGATCTCCAGTCGACATTTAGCAATCAGGCTCCAACCGTGGTGCGCATGAAGGCGGAAGGGCAAGAGAAAACAGAGAAGTGGAAAGCAAGGAGAGCAGGTGGCACCCCAACCAAATCACACCGGTTTAGGATAGATGCATTTTTGGGGATGGCAAAGCAGATGGGAGCCACAATCAGGCTCAACCCATGGGCACAGAGAGGGAAAAAATGTCCCTTCTGATGCTTTTCACCTCTGTGACGTCTCCCCTCTGAGCACCGTAGGTTGGTGCAGAGCAGAGGGTGAAAGGACTGTAGTCATGAAATTTCTGTAGATATCTGACAATATTAAAATAAAAGCCTGTTGGTACAAATCCATACAGCTCGTCCTGGTGGTGAGAAATCATCTCCTGATGGGAACTCAGACAAAGGATGGCTCCATCACCTGCTGGAGCTGCACCAAGGGATGCTGCAGGGGCTTATCACACCCAGCTATGGGATGCCACGTAGACGTGGATGCTGACAGGCCCTTGGAGAAGCTCAGCTCTGCCCTGTTTGCATCGCTGGGCCACCTTCCTGCTGCCTGCTGCTCACACCCAGCCTTGAGCAGCTCTCCTGGGGCTGATTTGCTGCCATTTCCCATTGCACTGTGAATCTGGAGCACTGAGAGCAGCAGTGCATGGCCAGGCTTGGGCACAAAGCTGTGGGACCTGAGAGCATCCTGGTCTACATATCCCACCCAGGAGTCCCACTCCACACATCTCACCCATTTCCCAGCTCCACGTACCCCCAGAAAGGCCACCAAACCAACCAGCAATGCCCCCAACCAAACTTCCAGCCTGGGGACCTCCATGCCTTGGGTCGTGTCACTGGGTCACCCAACATGGAAACCCCTGGCACGCTGCTCCGCTGCAGGAAATGGGAAGCAGTGGGGTTTTGTTTGGGATTTGATGGCTGGAGAAAGCTCACAGCGCTGCTGCAAATGGATCTGTGCAGCTGAAAGCTGCCCCGGCCATACCCAGGTGGGAAAGGAGCAAGGAGGGATGTGCCCTTCCAGCACCAGTGCCCCTTGCAGAGAGCACCATGTGCCTCTTGAGCAAAGAGAAACTCCATAAAACAGAGAAATAAGAGGTTGTATAACTCCTATAAACGGGCAGAGAGAAGGGTGTGAGCCATCCAGAACAGCTCTGTCCCCAGGGTGGGACCTTGCTCCTCTGGGTGTCCCCATGCCCACCAGGAAGCTGTGGCAGCGCAGAGGAGCCCACACAGAGCCTGCCTCCAGCAGTATCTGCCCTAGTTTGCAGGGAGGACAGTTCTGGCTTGCTCCAGTGCTTTGCAGGAGTGGATACAACACTTCCACCATTTGCACGCCTAAGGAGATGCGTGCTTCACCCCAAAGCAGTTCAACAAAGCCAAATCCAGCAGGGACCCAACGCCACCCACACTATGCCTGCAGGCAGAGCACCGAAGGCTCCTCACAACCAGCAGCAATGCAGCTCTGTGCAACCACCACATCACTGCATCCCCCCAGAGCTGCCCCCTCACGTCACTTTGCCCCCCACCTCCCCACTCCTGAGCACAAATACCATCAGCAACCATTGCGTGTTGGTGCACAGAGGGGTTCCTCCCTGCAGCAAAGGACTGGGATCCCCAAGTGCCACCACCACGCAGGGAGCCATCGTCCCCATAGCCACTGAGACAGGGGGGGTGAGGGGAGGCATTCCCATAAGCAAAGGAGCAAAACTGGGATAGAAAGGAGCCCGGCAGCTTTGAGGTGCAGGAAACCTTGCTGCAAGAAGTGGAGCTGCTTTGTTGGAAAGAACGGATTGAAATAAGCAAGCAGAATGGAGAGGAAGCAACAAATGCATGTGCAGAAAGCCCCCCTGCAGAACAGGACCATCAGCAATCACTGCCTTTTGCTTCTATTTGATTTTAGTATTTTCTGGCTGCTGGAAATATCCAGCCATGGAACCAAGCAGTGCAAAAGAAGGCAGTGAGCAAAGCAGCATCAGACACTCACAATTGTAGGATTCACCACGTCCCCGTCCCGGGAGCAAAACTTTTCCTTTGGCAGAGCCTCCAGAGCCATTCAGTGCTTTTACTTTCCCAGCCCCAGAGGTGGGGCTTCAGCTCAGTGCAATGTTAACCCCAACTTTTGCAATCGTCCCTTTTGATGGGAGTTTATTTTCCTTCCTGAGCTGCAATCCAGAAAAAAAACCCAACCCAAATATCAGAGTTCTGCCCCTGTGTTGTGCTGAGGGGGGCTGTGCAAGCTGTGTGCACGGTGCTGGTGCACGCTGGGCTTTGCTTTTTCCCCTTTCTCCATTCCCCTTTGCACAAGGTTCCATCCCTCCTAACATTTATTAGGAATATTTTTCCTGTGTTTGACGCTGCAAAGGGGGTTTCTCCCTTTGGATCCCACTGGGTTGGGATGGTGGTAGGTGGGCCCAGGGGATCTTTCCTCCTTGCTTAAATCTGGAGGACAGCCCAGCTGAACAGTGGATATCAAAAGATTTACTGCTTTGCTTGAACGACCCAGAGAGGTGATCCTGTTGGTGCTGCATGCCACAAAACACCACCAGTGGGTGTTGTGCACCATCATCCTGTATGCACTTTTGCGTGTGCACCTCTCAGCCTTCCTAAAAGTCATCAGCGTGCAGCTGGAGCTGGGATTGCTGCATTGGTGCGCTCCAAGTAAATCCCAGCCGACAAATTCCCAGCCCCTTCCTGGGCTCCCAGCAGCATCAGAGCTCTGCAGGATGCAGCCATCCCTTTTCCTGCTGCTGCTCAGCCAAAATAGGGAACCCGTTCTCTTCCCATCCCCAAAACCAAGAGATGGAAAGCCCAAAGGGGACGCTTCCCACAGCAGATGTGCAGCGCAGCTTTCCTCCTGGGATCCGATTGGCCATGGAAAATGGGGAGCAATGGACGCTGGATGTCCTCAAAGCAGGCAGTATCTGCCCATTAAGCCCATTAAGCAGTAATTAAATGCTCAGCAAGGGACGGGCAAATCTTTGCCCAAGCGACCCTGAGCCACCCTCCAGGCAGGGCTGCACCACTCAGATAACGCACAGCGGAGAAAATGAACTCCATCTGCTCCCGCAGGCTCGAAGCCCCCCAGGGCCCATACAGCGCGATGGTTTGGGGGTTCAGTGTGGGGCTTTGGGGTCCACAGGGTAGGCAACGGCCCAGCATAGCAACGAGACGCATCCAAATCCGCAGGGAGTCCTCGAGCCCATCGGTCAGCCCCATCGGGCAGCTTGCACGAAGGAAGAGCACCATCTATTGGCTCCGATTCCCCATTGCTCACTGCAGCTGCTCGCATCGTGTGTTCTGTCCCTACTGCAACGCCAGCACAGGATGCGAGGAGGCGTCAGCATCTGCAGCACAGATGTCGGCCCAAGCCCCTTTCGTTGGAAGCAAAGACCAAAGAGTCCCTTTCCTGCCCCTTGAGCAAGGGTTTTTCCTTCCCAAGAAAGAGGAATCTCAGGGCCGTGCAATGCAGTGGAAAAATCCCCATTACCAGCCAATTAAATCCATCCTCACATACTTCTATTGCAGCAGAAGGAAATTTCCAAGCATCTGTCGGGCTGAAATCGGAATCGTTATGAATGAGCGGTGCCACAGAGCACAAATTGTGACGGAGCAATTTCGACACCCGTAGCAATGGCAGGGAAAGGGCACGGAGGGAAATGCAAAGGGAAAGGAGGAGGAAAGCCAAAGAAAGGGGAAAAGTGCAATTTCTGTTCTTGGGAAACATCCCCTGGGTGCGACTTCGGTCTGTGGCTGTTTGGGGACTGCGTTGCCACAAGCGATGCCTTCGGTCAAGGGAAGTCTTTCAAAAGAGGAGAAATGCTTTCACAGAATCATAGAATCACAGAATCACAAGGTTGGAAACGACCTGCAAGATCATCCGGTCCAATCCCCCTCCCATTGCTATCAGTACCACCAGCACTGAACCACATCTCACAGCTCCTCATCCAGGCGCCTCCTGAACGCTGCCAGGGACGGCGAATCCCCCACCTCCCTGTGCAGCCATTGCAGCGCCTGAGCACTGAGAGAAACAGTTCTGCCTCATGTCCAACCTGAACCTCCTCTGATACAACTCCTGGCTGTTTCCTCGGCTCCTGCTATTTGCCTGGGAGAAGAGGCCAGGCCCTTTGACACCACAGCCTCCCTCCACGCAGTTGCAGAGTGCAGTCAGGTCTCCCCTGAGCTCCTCTTCTCACCCTCACCACTCCCAGCTCCCTCAGCCGCTCCTCAGCAGCCCTGTGCTCCACACCCCTCCCCATTTCGCTGCCCTTCTCTGCACGCTGCAGGGCCTCAACATCTTTCCTGCAGTGAGGAGCCCAAATCTGAACCCAGCACTCGAGGTGCGGCCTCAGCAGAGCTGAGTGCAGGGGATGCTCCCCTCCCTGCTCTGCTGGCCATTCCTCATGCAGCCCAGGCTGCCGCTGGCCCTCTTGCCCACCTGTGCACACTGCTGGCTCCTGTTCAGCCCAGCACCAACCAACACCCCCAGCTCCCTTTCCTCTTCACACTCACAGCCGCTCATCCCCCAGCCTGCAGCGCTGCATGGGGTCGCTGTGCCCCAACGCGGCCCCCGGCACTTGGTCTTGTTGAACCTCATCCCGTTCCCCTCTGCCCAGCCATCAGCTGATCCAGATCCCTCTGCAGGGCCTCCTTGTCCTCACGCAGATCCACCCCACCTCCCAACTTGGTGTCATCTGCAAACTTACTCAGGGTGCCCTCAGTGCCTTCATCTAAGTCATCAATGAAGATATTAAACAGGATGGGCCCAGCACCGACCCCTGGGGGACACCACTGGAAACAGGTCTCCAGCTGGACTTCACTCCATGCACCACCACCATTGAGCACGGCCCTCAGCCATTTCCTCATCCAACAGAGGGTAAAACTGCCCAAGGCACGGGCAGCCAGTTTCCGCAGCAGGATGCTGTGATTGACCGTGTCAAAGGCTGTGCTGAAGTCTAGGTAAGCTACATCAACTGCCTTTCCCTCATCTACCAGCCTGGTCACCCAGTCATAGAAGGAGATGAGGTTGGTCAAACACGACCTGCCTTTCATGAACCCCTGCTGGCAGGGCCGGATCCCATGGACGTCGCGCACGAGCCGTGTGATCTCTCCCAGGAGGATTTGTTCCATGACCTTCCCTGGCACTGAGGTCAGGCTGACAGGCCTGTAGTTTCCCAGATCCTCCTTACGGCCCTTCTTGTAGATGGGAATAATGCAGAAGGAGCAGATGGGGAATAATGCAGAAGGAGCAGCCCAGCTGGGGATTAAACCAAGCTGAGAGCATCTGCGCGCCGTGTCGTCGCACAAGAGGCTCTTCTTGGAGTGTGCAGAGCCCGTGCTGCACTCTGCTCCGTGTTGGAAGGCTGAGGTTTACGGAGAGAGACCACAGTGCTGAACAGCTCTGTGATTCGGTGAGAAAGCAGCTTGGAAATCACGACGTTTGGCTGCCCCAACCAGGTGTGGCGTTGGCTGGGAGTGTTGTATGTTAGCCCAGCTTTGTCGTCTCAAAAGGGGTGCTGGAATGGGCTGCCCAGGGAGGAGGTGGAGTCACCGACCCCGGAGGTGTTCAAGGAACGTTCAGATGTTGCGTTGAGGGACAAGGGTTGGTGAGAAGAGTTGGTGATAGGCAGATGGTTGGGCTGGATGATCTTGGAGGTCTTTTCCAACCTTGGCGATTCGATGATTCCGTGAAATACAAAATTGCTGGAAAAATGACCAGTGGAGACAAATGAAGCGTTGGCTGCTAATAACAAACGAAGCACGAGGTGTGCAGTGTGGGAATATATGTATCTTACATGCAGCCCCAGACAATTCCTCTACAAGTGGTGGGGCCCAGGCAAGGCAACAGGTTTTGGACAACCATTTATAGAATCACTGCATCATTAAATCAAGGAACTGTTGGATCAGTGAATCATCAAATCAAAGAACTGTTGGATGATTGAATCACCAAATCAAAGAATCATTGGATAACTGAATCATTGGATAACTGAATCACTGAATCAAAGAAGCAAAGAATTTGAGAGTCGTTGAGTCGCTGAGCCGCTCAATTGTGGAATCATTGAATCACAGAATCACTGAATCACTGCGTCACAGAATCTGAGAATCAGAGAATCACTTCATCAGAGAATCTGAGATTCTGAGACTCTGAGATTCAGGGAATCATTGACTCATGGAATCATTGATTCATTGAATATCAGAATCATTGATTCACTGAATATCAGAATCATTGATTCATTGAGTCTTAGAATTGTTGATTCATTGAGTCTTTGAATCAGAGAATCATTGATTCACCGAATCATAGAATTATTGAATTGAGTCATTGAACCACCAAATCATCACATCCTTGAATCAGAGAATCTCCAAACCATTTGATCATTGATCCATTGAATATTAGCATCATTGACTCATTGAGTCTTTGAATCATTGATTCATTGAGTCATTGAATCAGAGAATCTCCAAATCATTTGATCATCGATCCATTGAATATTAGAATCATTGATTCGTTGAAAAATTGAATCACCAAATCAGAGAATCAGAATCTGAGAATCAGAAAATCACTGAATTGTTAATTCATTGTGCTGCAGAATCATTGAATTAATCATTAAATCACTGAATCCTAGAATTATGGAATCTCGGAATCATTGAATCATGGAATCATCAAACCATTGAACCAGAGAATCAGGGAATCATTGGATCATCAAATTGCTGAATCAAAAAATCGCCGAATCATTTCATCATTGATTCATTGCATCACTGAATCTTTGATTGATTAAATCACCGAATCACTGAATCATTGATTCATTGAATCATAGAGTTGCTGAATCATGGAGTCGTTGAATCATCAAATTATCAAACAATTGAATCAGAGAATAATTGAATCATCATTGCATCACTGAGTCACTGAGTCGTTGAGCCTCAGATCACCAGGTCCCATGTCAACCCATCCTCAGCATTCCCCAAAGCCTTCCCCTCATGCAGGCTCAAAATGAGCCTTAATTGCTTCTAATGACCTGAACGCCAACAGCGGTGCTGTGCAGAGAGGGTTTCTGCTAAGGAGGAGGATTTTACTGAAAAGCAATTAGTCACTGAGGCAGAGCTCCACGTGGGCACCGCTGGGTGCTCAGTAATGGGAAGAGTTCCTGCTTCTGGGAAGCAC